GAGGGTGGGGAGCCAAAGTTGGAACTAAGCAAGGACCAGAGAAGGCTTGTCTCCTGAGTCCCGAACGAAGTTTATTGTTCTTCTGTTTCTGAGGACCGCTCAGGGCTCCTGGCTGTTATTCTGATGACATTAGATCCTGTGAGGAAGGATCTGAGCTTCTTCTATCCCATGTGGGAGATCCGATAGGGGAATGGATGACCTCAGAGTTCTTGGCCTATGAGGGCACTCCAATTCCCTGTGATCTTATTGGCAGTTGGGATGTAGTCTTTGGTGCCTATACTGATATTTCTTGGTGAGGTACTGGGAGTCTCTGGAGTTAGGATATAAGCCTCCTCCTGTCCTCCTGCTCCACTCTGGGGTCCCTTCCTGCTCTGTGCATATGACTTTCTGTTAAGAGGCTGTCAGGGTCGCTCTTGGATCCCACTGTATGTCTTTATAGTTTTTGCTAATGTCTAATGCAGATTTGAGTCTGCTGTCTGTAAGTTACCTGTTACATTCTTGATAGATTATACTTAACATCTAGACACACTCTAAGAAGGTGGAAGATTCCTCTGCTCTCTGCTTCTTGAAATGGGTCGGGAGAGCAGAGAAATCAGCCAAACTCTTTATTTGTACTTTAGAAGAAAGATTTATTAATTTGAAAGGCAGAACATCAGAGGGGGAGAGAAAGATGTCTTGCAATACTGTGGTTTACTCCCCAAATGAATGTTAAGAACCAGGGCTGGGCCAGGCTAGAGCCAGGAGCCAAGAATTCCATCCTGATCTCCCACAAGCACCTGGGTCATCCTCCACTCTCTGGCACTTTGACAAGGAGCTGGATCAGAACCAGGGTGGCTGAAACTCGAATGAAATGCCAGTGTTGCAAGCTGGGCCTTGATGTGCCAGACCATACCAGTCCCTTTGTAGTTTCAAGGTTGTGTTTTTTCAAAGGGAACATGAACTGGATAGTGTCTGTTCTCTACAGGAAGCCCTCCTTGATTGATTTTGCTTGGCTGAGGTTGCTTTTATTGTTAAGCCCTATCTTACTAGTGGGGAGTCACTCTGTGTGGAGGTGTGGTAGGGAAGTACTGTTTTTTTCTGTAATATGTGGTTAGTGACTGTATTGCCAGTGTAGGGGTGGAGTGTAACACTTGAGCAGGAGTGCCTCAGACTAAGCTACGAGTCCAACTCTGGTGGACTTATTCCCCAATAGGGAGACCAACCCTAACAAACCCAGTAACAAACATGATTGGGAGGTGTGCAGTTGTTCCTGGAGACAGGTGGCACAGTGTGTCAGGCAGTAGTCACAGTGAGACAGAGGTGAGGGGTGAGGATGGAGAAGGGAGGCCTTCTCTTGTGGCCGAAAGCCACGAGAAAAAGTTATTGTCCTCATGCTTTCTGTGGATGAGGGCTTTGGGAGTGGCGTGGATGCAGCTGAGGTTGGCAGTCCTGATGTCATCCGGGGAGGCCTGCGCCCATGGCTTCCAGGCTGGTGCTGCTTTCTGCAGGTGTGTGTGAGTGTCCTTGTGACATGGCACTTGGCTTTTCCCAGAGCATGGGCTAAGTGTGAACCCTAGGCCCATGTGGAAAGTCACAGGGTGTGGCTTCCACTCTGTCCACTGCACTGAATCCATCCCACATTCATGGAAAGGGGAATTAGGCTTGACTTGGAAAGCCAGGATGCTTCAAGAATTAGTGAAAGTACTTTAAGGCCACTGAATCTCCTTATTTAAAAACCCTTAGAACACTGAGTAACTGATGTATTTCTACCTGGATGCTCTGTTTTCCCAGAGAGCCCTTGTTTGTGCTTTGTTCCTGGCTGAGAAGTGTGAAGTGCCTCTCTGTACCAAGTGATGTTAGATGGCTGAGAGCAAGGATTCAAATAGATTTCTTATCCCTGAGGATGAGGGTTACTTGGGGAGATGTGGAAACATAGATGGGGAGATGTGATCACGCCAGAAGGATAGCTGCAAAGATGTGACTGCAGTCTCCTCCTTTGTGAAATGAAATCAATGAACTTGTTAAGGCTCTGGGATTTGAAGAATGTGTTTGAAATTAACATAACATGTGGCACACATTTAGATGCTAAACATATTCCTGTCCGTCTTTACTTTCCAGTTACTATTTCTGCATAAAACACTACCCTAAATTCAATTGTATAAAGCAGCCTTTTTATTTTCTGAAAGATTTACTTAATTTTATTTGAAATGCAGATTTAAAAGAGAGGGAGAGAAAGAGCTCTTCCATCCAAATTGGTTCACTCCCCAAATTGGCCACTGTGGCTGGAGCTGAGCTGATCTGAAGCCAGGAGCAAGGAGCCTCCTCCAGCCCAAGGACTTGAGCTATCCTCTACTGCTTTTCCACATCAGAGGCAGGGAGCTGGATCAGAAGTGGAGAAGCCAGAGTGCATATGGGATGTGAGGCTGCAGGCAGCGGATTGGCCAATTGAGCCTTGGCGCTGGCTCCAGCCTTTCTCTTTTACTCATACATCCTGTGGGTCAGGACTCAGAACTCACAGCAGGGCTGGCTTAGTACTGTTTCCTGCCATCTGAGCCCTCAGCTGGGAAGGCTGCATGTTTGGGGAAGTGTAGCTCATCAGGCAGAGATGCAGTTATTTGAAACCATGTCTTTCACATGTGTAGCCACTGATGCTGACTTGGTGGTACATTTATACATGTAACTTGCTCTCCCTGTTACGGACTGTTCCTTTTGACAGCACTCCTAGAGCTGGCAGGCCAAGGACCATGTGGAAGCCACATTGCAGTGTGCCTCTGTGCCTGGATGAGCCCACAGTAGCAAAAGGGTCATGGGCACTCTGCCCCACCCCCCGCCTTTGGTAGCAGCACTTGAGATGAGAGAAATCATTGTGATACTTTTATAAAGTACGGTCTAATACTTCATCCCTCTCTTCACCTTACCTGCTGACCTTACCTACGTATCAGAGAGACACAGAAGGATATTCCTATGCTCAGCAGCTGGGGTTGGGCTAGGGGTAGGCTGGGAGCCAGGAACCATTCCAGGTCTCCTGTGTGAGTGATAAGGACCCAGCTACTTGAGCCGTCCCCATTTGCCTCCTGGGATCCGTGTGGGCAGGAGGCTGAAATCAGGGGCCAGAGCCAGAGGCTCGATGTGGGCTGTCTGAACCAGCATCAACCGCCAGGCCATACACCTGCCCTTGAAAGATGATCTTACACTTCAGAATCATCTTTTGTTTAGCTGCTGTTACAGCTTGTTTTCTTTCTGATTTTGTATTATTTAGTAGTTCTTAAAGTAGCCACAGGGATGCATCCTATGAATAATTACAGTGATTTTTTAATTTTTTATTTTTATTGGAAAGGCAGATATACAGAGAGGAGAGACAGAGAGGAAGATCTTCCGTCCAATGATTCACTCCCCAAATGAGTGTAACAGCCGATGCTATGCCGATCCGAAGCCAGGAGCCTCTTCCGGGTCTCCCACGCGGGTGCAGGGTCCCAAAGCTTTGGGCCGTCCTCGACTGCTTTCCCAGGCCACAGGCAGGGAGCTGGAAGGGAAGCGGGGCTGCTAGGATTAGAACCGGCGCCCATATGGGATCCCGGGCGTGCAAGGCGAGGATCTTAACCACTGCACCATCGTGCCGGGCCCTACAGTGATTTTACACAGTAATTTAAAAAAGTTTACCATTAAGTTTTGTTGTTGTTGTTGTTTTGGGTGTAGTTTATTTCATTAAACACTGTGTTCTATGGGAGCATCGAATTTGTTTCAAAAGACATGTTTTCATTCTTTTTTGTGGTTGAATATTGTTCTATCATGTATATACACTGCATTTTCATTTCTCCAATCTGTACTTCTTTTATCTGCATTTTGTAGTCAAATCACTTAATATTTCCTCCCCACTTTCTTGAGTTTCAGTCGAGTTTTTAAAATTAATTAATTAGCTGCTTTTATGATGCAGTTCCACAGCATCTGAGAGTCCTCTCTCCCCAAGTTCCTCCCCACACTGATTTCCCCTGTTAATGTACAATAGCATATCACACCAGTATTGTCCTTCAAAAACAGTCCCAAGTCCATTATTCTGCCCTTCAAGTGTATCCTGACATTGTAGGTATGGACAATTTTATTCCAGTGGGTAGACAGATATTTTCTCACATATTAAGAAGTAATTATCATTGGTTTAAATAGGGTATTAGGAAAGCAACTTACCAGAGCATACAGATTTATCTGTTTTAAACTCTTAAAAGTTTTTGCCATATACTTTTCTTTTTAGAGAAGAACCAAAGATGATACTTGGAAAGCAGATGACCTCAGAAGACAACTTTGGGTAATACTTCATAGATTTAACTTGGGTTGTCCGTTTGGAGAGTTTCCTGACTCACAGCACGCACCTCTCTGTCCTTGTGGCTCACCTGAGATGCGCCGTTGACTCAGGGATGGTGCCTGTGGCTAGTACCTGTGAGCGGGAGAGGGCCAGGGCCAGGGCCACGTGCAGCGTGTTTCCTCTTTGTCACTTCAGCCTGACATCCCACCAGCCCTGTGTGTCTCTCTGTCACCGGGCATGCGTGTAGGGGTGCTTCCTCATTCCTGGGGGTGGTGACGAGGCGGAAGGGATCTACCTCATTGGAGATCAAGGTCAGTTCCTTAACTTTGGAGTTTTGTAATGAGGGTCTCTGTTCTTTAGATAGGATCTAGGTTGTTCCTATCTTAGCAATCCTAAAGACACTCTGTATGTTTTGTTGTTGTTGTTGTTTCTAACCAGTGTTGTATTTTACATTTGATTTGCCAGTAAATGTGCATGTCTTTGATGTCCTGTAGGCAGTTATAGAAATGCTACTTCATGATTTTAGTCATTTTAATATTCTAAAAATACTCACCTGGGCCCCATCCATCTTACTGGGATTGGAAAGCAGTTGAATGCAGTAATTTTGAAGGTCCTTAAAATGAGTGAGATTCAGATGTCCAATGTGTAAAGGAAATATGCCTTTCTGGAGAAGGATGACCCTCCCCCCTCCTTTTTTTTTTCCTGTTGTTTTAGGCAATACAGTCAGGTAGTTCCAAGGAAGAAAAGAAACACAAGGAAAAGAAGCCGCACCGAGAGCCGGAAATGGACCTCCCTGAGCACAAGGAGCCGAAGTACAGGGACCCTGAGCGAGACGCCAAGTACCGAGAAAGGATGGCAGAGAGCGACACTCACGCCTCTAAGGAGAATCCTCGCGGGGACAGGGACAGGGAGAGACTGAGGGAGAAGAGAGACACCAGAGAGCGGGACAAAGAGAGGTCCAAGGAGAAGTACCGAGAACAGGAGGCAGAGAAGTCTCACAGCCGAGCCAAGGACAGAGAGAAAGAGAAGGACAGGAGGGCGAGGAAGGAGGAGCTGCGGCAGACAGCTGCACACCACAGCCTCCTGGGCCGGGAGGCGCGCGAGCGCCCGCTCCTGGAGAGAGCCGAGAGGAAGGTCCGCTCAGGTGCGCCATGGTCCTCGTGGGCTGGGACTTGCTTGCCTACACTGGTTAGGAGTGTCCCCTGTTTCCTCCGGACGTGCTTGTGGCGTGCCCAGTTGGTACAGCCTTCTGTTAGCTGTACTTCCTTTTCTTGTTTGAAGGTTAGTTAATTAACTTATCTGAAAGGCAGAGTTAGAAAATGGATAGGTTTTTCGCTTCCTTGTTTCACCCTTGGAGTGGCCACGGTGGCCAGGGCTGGAGCAGCTGGAAGCCAGGAGCCAGGAGCTCTGTCCGGATCTCCCATGTGGGTGCACGAATCCAAGCCCTTGGGCCGTCCTGCACTGCTTTCCCAGGCACACAGGCAGAGAGCTGGATTGGAAGTGGAGTAGCTGGGACTCAAACCAGCACGTTTGTGGGATGCTGGCATTGGCAGTGAGAGCTTAATGCACTATGTCATGATGCTGGTCCCTTCATTGTCATTTTTCTTCTCTGATAGCTTTTATGAATAGCTTAGCATCGATTTGAAGCTTTGGGTCCTTAGTATGGGTATGTTTCTGAGGGTGTGTAGTTTTCATTGTTATTTTCTTTTTGATCTTTTTAAAATTCAGTCATTAAGGAGAGTACAAATTTCTCATTTGCTGGAGTTTCACTCTTGGAAGATATTTTAGGTTTGTATTAATAAATCTTAATTTTCATTGCAAATAACAAAAAGTCCTGTTCTTTGGTAGAAAGTATTGCCCCCCAAAGTCAAATATGAATTTTCTTTCAAATGATATTTAGATACTCTGGATCTGAATTCCTAGGAATTCTGAGGTAAAGGTATGTATTTTTCCCCACTCAAAGTGGAAGTTTCTTGACTATTAGTTATACAGAGAGTATGCTTTCTTTGTTTAAAAAAAATCAAAACACAACTAACCAACTTATGTGAAAATAGATCAGAAGAGTGTATGGGGTGACTCTTAGTGTCAGCATAAAGGGTATAAGACCTGACTATGGAATTATTTTTCTGATGCCTCTTAAAATTGTTATTTTGATATTCTTGCTATTTATTTATGATAACATTTTGTTCTCAGATTGTTCTCTCTTTTTGCTGCTCCTGCCCGTATTATTGTTTTTAATACAGTATTGATGTGAATAGTGCTACAAGGCTGGCCACGCTTTGAGGCTTTTTGAAGTTCTTGCTGTCATCACACGTCTCTTTCAGATAATTTTTCTCAGGCCTCTCCCCATCTGTGAAATGCGACCTTGTTCCAGGCCTTGGTCCTTGGCCCGCTCCCCCAGCTAGCTCTCTCCCTCACTGGCTGGGTCCAGTCTTAGAGATTCAACACCATCTACCTGGCCCTGATCTCCAAAGTTGCTGTGCAGTTGGGTTTCAGCCCTGAGCCCCCTGCCTGTGGCTGTACCTGAACTTTGCTGCTGAATAGATGCTGTGAGCTTAACATCCCCCCTGCCTCAGAAGCAGCTTCCCTGCTGCCTTTCCTGTTCCCGTGAACGTAATTGATCTTTCTGTTCCTGAGGTCAGGAAACCCGGGAAGCATCCCGACTTCCCAAGTGCTTTTCCAGTCTCCTTGGAGAAGATGTGGGTGCTCCCTTAAGCTGCCTCCTCCTTGTGTCCCAGGCTGCTAGAATGGTGGATCATGAAGACATCTTGCAAGTATTGACTGTCTCAGTCATCTCTGTAGGTTTTTTTTTTTTTAAAGGTTTGTTTATTTTTATTGGAAAGGCAGATTTACAGAAAGGAAAGACAGAGAGAAACCTCTTTGATCCAATGGTTCACTCCCAAAGTGGTCACAACAGCCAGAAATGAGCCAATTCGAAGCCAGGAGCTTCTTCTGGGTCTGCCATACAGGTACAGGATCCCAAGGCTTTGGGCTGTCCTGTTGCTTTCCTAGGCCACAGGAAGGGAGCTGGATGGGAAGTGGAGCCGCCAGGACACAAATGTTGGATCCTGGCACTTGAAGGTGGAGGATTAGCCTGTTGAACTATGGCACTGGCCCTCTTTATCTGTCTTTTAAAAAATATTTATTTTAATTATTTGGAAGGCAGAGTTAGAGGGATACACACACACACACACACACACACACACACACACACACACACACACAAGACCTTCCCATCTGCTGGTTCATTCCCCAAATAGACAGTGTCCCACACTCACCATGCTAAAGTCAGAAACTTACATCTCCACTCAGGTATCCCATTGTGTGGCGGGGATCTAAGCACCTTGGCCATCTTCCCCTGCTGTTGTAGGTGCGTTCGTAGGAGCTAAATGTGAAGTGGAGCATCCTGGCATCCAACTGGGCTCCTTGGGGATGTTGGTGTCACAGGCAGCAGCATTGAATGTTGTACTGCAATGACAGCCTCCTGTCCTTATCTCTCAAATAAGTACCTTTCAGAATACTTTTTTTTTCTTTTCTTTTTTTCCTGCAGCTTGGGCATTGAAGATTCAGGCTCCCTGTTGGAAGGTGCTTGGGTCAAGTGCTATCAGTAGCTGTGTGACTACTTGGCTCACTCCTTCCTTCCCCGGCCTCTCTGCTGGGTTCTGCTGGGTATTGGTACTTGATGCTAATGTGTGTGGGCTTGGCCTAACTTCCTTTTAATCCGGGGATCTCTTGACCCTTTTGTCCTCCAAGCTTTCAGGGAACCAAAAAGCTGTGGGTGCTAGGCTACTTTCTTAGCACATCCATGAGGGCAAGCATTTCCTTGGGGCTTTGAGGTTGACTGACATGTTTTGCAACCTGGACCAAGGTCTTGCCTCAAACTGGTGTTAGCTTTCCTCTTGCATTGTTGCACAGAAACCCAGAGGTCAGTTTGTGTCGGTACTGGGGCTCCTTCTGAATTTCAGACTTTTGCCTGGTACCTCAGTAGCAAATGGATACAAGGGAAGATTTATTCCAGCACCTTGGATTGCCATATGATCTCCCTCTTTGTTTCATTGTAAGTATAGAGTGTTTTAATTCAAGTATATATATATTTCTAAGTGAAACAAGCTTTTATAAAGTCATAAGTCTCCTGCTGCAGCAATAGGAGGAGGCTGCAAGAGAGGAAACACCCCAATTCAAGACTATGTAGAAATTACATGGTATTCAGTGTAATATAGATGAGAAAGCCTGCATCAAGGTGTGGGGCAATCTGTTTTGTGGGCTAACATTTGAGGGTGTTAAGAACATGTTTTATTTTTATAGTGAGTAAAGCAAGAATTGAAGAGAAAGAGAGGCGAGAGGAAGACTATGAAAGAGGAGATGACGATAGAGAACGAAGATACCGAGAAAGAAAGGTACGTAAGGCACGGAAGGTACGGAAGGCACGTAAGGTACGGAAGGCACGTAAGGTACGGAAGGCACGTAGGTACGTAAGGCACGGAAGGTACGTAAGGCACGGAAGGCACGGAAGGCACGGAAGGCACGTAAGGCACGGAAGGCACGTAGGTACGTAAGGTACGTAAGGCACGGAAGGCACGGAAGGTACGGAAGGTACGGAAGGCACGGAAGGCACGGGGGCCAGGGTCGGAGAAGGGCTCTCAGGTGCGGCCGGGCACAGGGTGGACAAGGAACTGGGACCAGGAGCATTTTTGGAAAATTGCATAAATTGGGATTCAGGGTCCGGGAGACCTCTTAAGCACCAGGTCGATGCCTTTGCTCCTTCTGATACAGTGCGCTACCTCATTATTTTAGAAAATTTGTAAGATACAAATGAATAACAAGAAGACAGATTGTCTAGTCTCCAATAGGGAGAATTAATTATTGATAATATATCTTAGGGAAATTTTTTTATAGACACACACACACATCCACATATGTGTCTCCATACATTTGAAAATGTGTATATATGTGTGTGTGTGTGTGAAAGGACTTTGAAAAGTTTATAAAAAATAGGACTTAAAGGATGAATTTATTTTGGTGTGGAGCAATTTTGAAGTGTATGAATAGTTTCCCTCACCACCAAAATGTTTTTGCAAACCCCTCTTCGGTGTGTGGTTCAGAAGGGGCAAAGGCAGTGCTCCGTGCCCCAACAGCTACTGGGCCTTGTTGTCATTTTCAGTCATTGCTGGCTGAAGGCGACTGTGGCATTTTGCATATTACAAGGGTGTACCTGTGTACATGTGTTCTGACTCCCAGCCAGTCACTTACGGTGCTGCTTTGTTCCAAGTTCCACTTGTGGGGACCTTTAGTTTCATGAGTGTTTAAAATGTTGAAGCAGTTACGTTGTTGTTGATGAAACACTCGAGGATCCCTTTCCCCACATCAGTTCTCTCTCTCTCTGTCTCCTTTTTTTAAAAGGACTAACTTATTTGGAAGGCAGAGTGACACACACAACACACAGAGAAAAGGCTGGCCAGGCTTTCGTGGAAGATTGAGTGTGTGAGTGTTTGGGGATGGGAGGTGAGGGCTAACCAGCAAATGGAAGGAGGAGCGAAGGAACCGCAGAGCACTGAATTTTGGAGGGAATTGTGGGCTGAGGGTCTGGTCGCTCTTAGTTGAGGATGGGCTGAGGAGACCCTCCGTGAAAGGAGAAGGTCAGCTACATTTTGGGGTCTGTTGAGTGCGCTGACGATCTGAGCCAAGAAAATGACATGGTGGTGTGTATGGAATTCCTGGTGGCCGTCACCGGTTGTTTAAGGAATATCTGCGGTGATTTAGGGGGATACAAAAGGGACTTTCTCAGTGGTGGTCCTGTGTTCAGGAATCTCCATCTGGCTGGGAGTGGGAAGCAGTGGTGTGATCCATCTTTAAGGAAAACATGGCAGCAGCATCCTGTGGGTGCTCAGTGAACACACTGTCTTTCTAGAGAAGTCACAAGGTCTCCCAGGGAGGCTCTTTTGGGGCCGGTGCCACTGAAGGTGAGGGTGACAAGAGTGAGCCCGACGAGGTAAAAGGGGCTGGACTGTTTGCCTTGCTGAAGAATTTGGACATTGTTTTCCATGCAAGAGAGAGGTCAGTTGGGCTGTGGTATCTCATGCTTTGTACAGTTGAGTTATCTGAATCATCTAGCAGTAGAGCAGTGATACGCATAGCTCTTTTTTTTTTCCTTCCCAGAAGGTCAACAGATGAGGTTGTTAGGACCATCCCTAATGACAGGAGAGAGTGAAAAGGGCAATGTTGTGCAATTCTCCCTGTATTTGTCAAAAGATATTGAAAAGGTAGATGACTCGCGTGTTATTTGTTCATTCACTTTTCAACGTTTTGCATTGCGCAGTTGCAGTATGGTGACAGCAAAGACAACCCTCTGCAGTACTGGCTCTACAAAGAAGAAGGTGAAAGAAGACACAAGAAGTCGAGAGATCCGGACAGAGAAAAGAAACATCGGGAGAAGAGCAGCACGAGGGACAAAAGGGACAGACATTCAAAGGAAAAGAGTAACTCCTACCCCGAGAAGGAGGAAGAAAGACACAAAGAAAGAAGACACAAAGACAGCTCTCATGTGGAGGACGAGAGGCACCGGGGTCACGCAGAGAAGAAAGAGAGGTCCTTGAAGGACGAGCACAGGAGGAGGGACCCCAAGGTAGTGGCTTTTCGTGTTTTAGTGCCTTCCCCCTTGTCCGCAGATCAGCACTGTGGGAGGAAAGTGACAGGTGCATGTGGCCAGCTGCTGCCAGCGCTGGTGGCTTAATGCCTGCGGTCTTGGTAATAGCATAGTTCGCCTCTCCTCTGACCTTTTTGGAGAGAGACATGTTACCGATCTTCTAAGGATTATGAAGTTAAGTGTTGATTATGTTGTGAATGTGCTTTTGATGCATATTTGATAATCTGTCATCAAATTTTGAAATTTCGCATTAAACAGGAAGCTGATATTATTTGAAAATCGTTTTTAAGGATGTACACAGACATGTACACACAGAGGGAGGGGGAAAAAGCTGACTAGTTCATTTCCGAAGTGCCTGCAGTGACGGGGCTGGGCTGAGGTCCGTGCTGCCGCTGGCAGCTCAGTCCGAGCCATCCACATGGCACTGAACTTGACAGCTCAGGAACTTGAGCTATCTCGGGAGCTCCCAGGGTCTGCGCTAGCTGGAAGTTAGTCAGCAGCTGGGGCCAGATCTTAAACTGAGGCACTTTACAATGGGACGTGGGTGTCTTCACAAAGACTAGATGCCTGCCCCTGGTATTCTTGAGGTAGAAATTAACTGAGTAACAGTGTAATTAATGTTCAACCAGCATTGTTAGGGTAAGTTTGTAACAAACCAAACCACACAGGACAAAAATATAAAGCTATGGGTTGCAAAGGATCTAATCTTTCCACATAAATTAGTGTAATTACTGTTATGTGCTTAATATATTCTTGGATTTATTTAAGTGCCTTGTTCTGACGTGTGTACTTTCTGCTCTCCTCTTTGTGGAATCTGTTGCTAATGTGATTTCATTCCCTATTTCTTGATGGGATTTCGGTTAGAATGGAAAAAGCCAGTTTTCTTGGGAGTGATCACGTGGCAGCTGAGGCTGATGGAGATTGCACTTTCCAAGGCAGGGCTCCGGGTTGCCGCCAAAGCCTGGGACTGGCAGCTGCTGATGCTGGGGTTCATAGCTCATGGATCTGCAGCTGGCGGCTGCTGGATGTTCCTGTGTTCGTTGTAAGAGCAAAGAGATCGCTTAAGCTGAGAAACAGCTGAACTGTAAATAGGTCACTGGAGCGGGTTTTGGGGTGCAGCGAGACAAGCCGTTGCTCAGGGTGCGTGTTCCACGTGGAGTGTTCATTCGAGTCCCCGTTCTCCTTGCTGTCCAGCTCAGGCTGTTGGGTTTCTCCCACACACATGGCAGAGTCAGCTGTTGTGGGCTCCTGGCTTCAGCCTGGCTAAGCCTTGGCTGTTCTGAATACCGGCGAGAGAACAGAGGATGAGGTCTCTCTCTCGCTCTGCCTTTGAAATAATTGTAAGAAAAAAATAATTATATGCGAGGATAGATTGCTGCCTGGCCTCTTGGCCACCTCACCTTTGCTGTCATGTGGGTGAATCAGAGTCCTTTGTCTCCCATTATCTTCCCCTGCTGCCTTGACTTGCAGCTCTGCCCAAGCCCACGCTGTGGCCCAGCGTAGCTCTCTGCCCTCCTTTTTGAAGCTAAATGTTGCTCATGTTTTTTCACAGTTTAAGCAGTATCACTGTTGTCATCTCAGTGTGCTATTTAAAGGCCCTGGACTGGCTGCCTGCTTGGTCATGTGCAATGTGTACATTCCTCACTGCGTGAGGAAAACTCAGTTGCATGATGATAGATAGGGATCCTCAAAGACGGGCACACGCTTTTTTTGGTGTGTGTTTTTTTTAATCTCTTTCCCTAGATAACAACTTTTTATTTTCTCAAACATTTTAATTTGAAAAATTTGGAGCGTAAAGCAAAGGTGACGGAGTTCACAGTGCGCACCTCTGTGCCCACCAATTGGATTCTTCCCCAACGTTATATGGAACTTGCTTTTGTCCATTGTCCAGGTCAACTTCAAGTATCACAGATGTCACATTTAGCTTGCATCTGTTTTGTCCTTGTCACTGAAAACATCTTTCCGGGTATGTCTTAATGCATATGTTTGACTTTTATTATGGTTGTATGATCCACGATTCATGAGGAACATTATTCTGCATCTATATAAAAATCATGGTCTTCAAAATTAGTCCCAGAAAAAAGATTTCTTGTGATGACTCATGGACTTCCTGTTGCAGACGTTTGTTCACACTGGAGTGGCTGTGAATAAACCGGAGTCTCTGTTCTCATAGCGCCTGTTTGCTCTTTGAGAAGCCGTGTGATAAAGAAAGAAGCAGTGTGCCGTTAGCAGCAAGAATGGTTATTGACCATTACATAATTGAGGTTTTTCTGTAGGAAGTCTGCCAGGTAATTGCAAGGTACCTTTTGGCTTAGTTTCCGTGTTGACCCAGTGTTGGATGTCGTTATTCTAAGGTGACTATAAATTCGATGGTTCCTCTTCCCTCCTCTTCCCTTCCTACCACCCTTTATTTGCAGAGCAACACAGAGAGGGGTGGAAGGAGAGAATGTGTGAGTGAGTTGCAGGAGAGATGTGTTTCATCTACTGGCTTACTCCCCAAGTGGCTACAATGGTCTGGGCTGGGCCAGGTCAAGTCCAGGAGCCTGGAACTCCATACTGATGTTGCAAGGAGGAGCTTAGCTCACTGTGCCACAGCCATAGCCTCATTAATAATTGTGCCGGGACAATAGCTGTAAACTGAGAATTTTCCCAGGAATGTGAGGTTTCCTTGATTATTTCTCATCTTATGATTTGTAAGTTATTATTGTAAGAATGATTACGGATCAGTCTCCTCTGGCTATCAGTGAGACGTAGATAGGCCATGAAGAGTTCTTGGGAGGTTAGTGACAGAATGGCCAGGCCTCTCCTCAGACTCTTTGAAACAGTCCCCTTTTGAGAGCTGCCTTCGGAGAACATGCTACCGAGGAATGAGGGCCAACCACCACTTCCACTTCCTAAACACCGTGCGCCAAATTAAGGCTCTACCCTCTTAACGCCATTAACTGTGGCTTTGGGGCAGTCACTTAAAAAACGATTTATTTATTTTTATTGGAAAGGCAGATTTACAGAGAGGAAGAGAGACAGAGAAGAAGATCTTCCATCCGCTGATTCACTCCCCAAGTGGCTGCAATGGCTGGATCCTAAGCCAATCTGAAGTCAGGAGCCAGGAGCTTCTTCCGGCTCTCCCACATGGATGCAGGGTCCCAAGGCTTTAGGCTATCCTTGACTGCTTTCCCAGGCCACAAGCAGGGAGCTGGATGGTAAGTGGAGCTGCTAGGATTAGAACCGGCACCCATATGGGATCCTGGCACGTTCAAGGTGAAGACTTCAGCTGCTAGGCTATCGCACTGGGCCTGGTCACTTCTTCAGGAGAAGAATCAGTGACGTTTGTAGCCTGTAATACTTTTGAATGTCAGATCATGACCTTTTTTTAACTGCTGAATTTAGTGACGTCAAGTATCTCTTGTAATTATCTTCCAAAAACACTGCTACCCAGAGCATTCATCCTGAGGCGAGAACATAAAATGTGCCAACAGAGCCCTGTGCTTTTGTTCTAGACTTGCTTACAAGGCTGCGAGGGGTCAGCTGTACTGCTTGTCTTCCTGAGAGCCGGAGGAACAGGGGTGACAGTGCTGAGAGCGCTGGGTAACCCCTGGCCAACACCAGCGTGGCCCAGGCATCCCATAGCTCCGGGAAGACCACAGGGTCCTCCAGGGCTGTTTGCTGGTCCTTCATCACCCAGCTTTAATTCTTAGGTTAACGTGGTACTTCTCTGTTTTTCCTTATTTATATCTAGTTATTAAATTTGAGCTTTTTCCTATCTTGCACTTTTCATTCTGTTCCTTTTCCATTCCAGTCTCATGTTGAACATGTAATTATACTTATTTTGTTAAAGATTTTATAGCTTTTAATATAGGGAAGTATTAAATTATAAATTATGCATGATATCAGAAAATTTATTTTACATTGTATGTATATATACGTGCAGTGCCTTTTCTTCTTGGTAAATGAACTTTGTAAAAAAGTACTCCTGGAATCATGGTGGTCTTTGCTAATTATTCTGGGGAATGCTTCTCTTTTTAATTTTAAGAAAGGATTTATTTATTTTAACTTGAAGGTCAGGGTTACAGAGAAAGAGGGAGAGATCTTCCATTTAGTGCTTCATTCCGCACATGGCCAAAAATGGTCAGAGCTGAGCTGATCTGAAGCCAGGAGCCTCTTCAGGTGTTCCACATGGATGCGGGCTCTGGGCCACCCTCTGCTGCTTTACTAGGCTCTGAGTAGGGAGCTGGATCAGAAGTGGAACAGCCAGGACACAAACCGGCCTGTACGGGTGCTGGTGCCACAGGTGGATGGATGCCTAGCCGAGCATGGTGTGGTGTCCCAAGACCATAACTTCCTGTCAGGTTATTAACATTTTTAGTATTCCTTAGTATTCTTTTTTTTTAAGATTTATTCATTTTTATTAGAAATGTGGATCTACAGAAAGAAGGAGGCATAGAAAGAAAGATCTTTCATCCACTTGTTCACTCTCCCAAATATCCAGAGCGGAGCCGATCCGAGGGCAGAAGTCAGAAGCATCTTCTGGGTCTCCCACGCGGGTGCAGGGTCCCAAGGCTCTGGGCTTTCCTCTGCTGTTTTCCCAGGCCAGAAGCAGGGAGCAGGATGGGGAGTGGGGCTGCTGGGATTTGAACCGGTGCTCATATGGGATCCCGGTGCGTTCAAAACAAGGACTTTAGCCACTAGGCCACCACACTGGGCATTATTATTTCTTAGAAGTAGATCTTACAGGTCAAAGGAAGCGTTTGAATGTTTTTAACTCTTTTTAAGGCTTGTAGTACTAATGGTGTGTTGTCCTCTGCTGATTTTTGTTTTTGGACCTTGTTTGAGAAGCAGTGAGAGAAAGTGAGCTAGAGGGAGCATGGGTGGAAGAGCACGTGTGCCTCAACCTGCTCCCATCTGCTGGTTCCCTTGCTGAAGGCGTCGGTGTTGGGCCAGTGTTGGAGCTTGAAACTGAAACCAGGATGTGGGACTCGGGAATCCTCACCGCTCTGCCAAAACACTCTAGGCTGGTTGACAGCCTTCTTAGTGGATGACTCAGTCCTCTTGTTCTGTGATATGCTGCTGCTGCTTCTTTTTTATTTTTTTAAAAAGATTTATTTGGGCCCAGCGCGCTGGCACAGTGGTTAAGGTCCTCACCTTGCATGCCCAGGATCCCATATGGGCGCCGGTTCTTTCCCGGCGGCCCCCGCTTCCCTTCCAGCTCCCTGCCTGTGGCCTGGGAAAGCAGTCGAGGACGGCCCAAAGCTTTGGGACCCTGCACCCACGTGGGAGACCCGGAAGAGGCTCCTGGCCTCGGACCGGCATAGCATCGGCCGTTGCGCTCACTTGGGGAGTGAATCATCGGATGGAAGATCTTCCTCTCTGTCTCTCCTCTCTGTATATCCGCCTTTCCAATAAAAAAATAATAAAAATAAATCTTTTTTTTTTTTTTTTTTTAAAAAAAGCGCAGCTTTTTATATAGAGAAGGAGAGACATGGAGAGAGATCTTCTGCCAGCTGGTTCACTTCCCAAGTGGCTGCATCGGCAGGAGCTGAGTTGAGCCAGGAGCTTCCTCCAGGTCTCCCGTGCAGGTGCAGGTCCTAAGGCTTTGGGCCGTCCTCTGCCACCTTTTCAGACTGCAAGCAGGGAGCTGGATGGGAAGTGGAGCAGCTGGGACATGAACCAGCTCCCGTACGGGATCCTGGCATGTTCAAGGCGAGGATTTAGCCGCTGGGCTCACGCCTGGACCTTGAGCCGTGCTTCTTAGGGGCTGTTCCATGTCTGTGGTTTCTCCACTGCTTTCCTTTTGTCTGTCTGTCTGTTAAGGAAGGGCCTGGGTCTGCCTCCCTTCGTTGCTGCTCCCGCCTCACCTAGCCCAGTGCCGTTTCCCAACAGTCTGTTTACTGAGTCATCATCTACTAGTTTGATTTTTAGCTGTATAGGTTCAGTCAATTCTTGAGAAGATTCCTTGAAGTTTTTTTTTTTTTCTGTAGGCTAAATGCATGAAACTTTTGAGTTTGAGCAGTTTAGTAGTAACCAGTCATATTTATCCATAAATATTATGTTTGTTATGTGAGATGGTGGAGTACATTGATTTATTTCTGAGATAATACCTAGCTACCCTTATAATATATTTGTGTTTTCCTTGCATTATCTAATTTATGAAAAAGGACTCGTAAATCCTTATTTTAATAAATGTTTATAGATGCTGTTGCTGAAGTTCATATCCATGCTCATTTTATAGAGTTTACTTCTTGTCCTTAATTCATTGTGATTTAATACTTAATGGTGATGAATTTTTTTTCTCTTTTCTAGAATGGCGAACACAAGAATCGAGGTACAAGTTCGAGGAGAGATGGAACTGGCAGCCAGTAAGGAATCTGCATGATTTGTTGATTGTATAGTTCTCATCGTGTGCTTTAAAAGTGAACTTTCCTTAACAGGAGTAAATTATTGAAATAACTTGGTCTTCTTCAGCTCTGGACCCTCCAAGTTGTATGGAGAGGAGACTGTTACAGAGGTCTTTCTGCTCACGCACGTGTGGAGAATGAGTTCTCACTGAGGAAAATGATTCATTTAGGAGTTCCTTGGTGTGTGACAGGTGGTCTTTCCTCTGGCTGAAGAAGCGTCCGCAGGTGATGGTTCGCCTCCCCCACAGACACTGGAGCGAACCATCGTGGGTTATGTTCGTGCGTGCGTGCCGCATTCCAGCCACTGCTGGCATCACGGTTCCTCTGTATGGTGAGGACCAAGAATTCTAGCCCCGAGGCCGCGCCGGCCCGCTGTGAGAGCAGCTGCTAGTCCAGCCTGAGTTGGACTTTTATGCCTTTCAGTAAAATTATGGCGGTTTATACCTTTTACAGATCAGTATAGGCTAGAGTTTATATGTAATCTCATTTTAAATACAAATCTTAGCTTTAGTTTTTTTTTTAGGATGACTGTATTTTGTAATTCTTTTGTATAGATCAGGAAAACTCAGGTTAGATGCATTGCATTTTTCTCTTTTTAAATTTTTAATATTATTATTATCATTTTATGATATATTTCCATAGGCCCTGGGATTTCATTGCCTGTAGTTTTACACATTTGAGCAAAAATATCACTAAACCTGGGAATGAGAGTGTCAAATTCCTAGATTTTGTATTATAAACTTGTTGGAATGTAAAGGAGGATTTTACTCAGGTTGTATATTAAATCCCATTTTATAGTGATTTAGTATGACTGAAAATTGGGAATCAAGTCGAAATTTTGAAAACCTTATCTTAGGTCTCAAATAATATAGAATATGACTGAAAGATATACTTCAAGTTTAATTTTATTTTAGAAGTATGAATTTTATATGATGCATAAAATAGTATTTGGGGTTAATATGATTATAGACAATTTCTAGAATCCTTAAAGGATATATATTCATACATATGCATAAAAAAGATTTTGTAAATTTCTCTTTTTACTGGGGATGTCTTCAGTGTTGAATTAATGCCACAATGCAGAAACTCTTGGAAAGACTTCAACACTCATAATTCTAATAAAACGTGCTTTGCCAACCTATAGCAGTTCTTAATCAGAGCAAAATATTGATAAGATCCTTCACTGAGATTAAGCATATTTTATTATTTTTTTTAAGTCATAATTTAAAAGTAAATTTTAACACTGGTCATGTTTACTTTCTAGCCATGCAGAGAATGTAGTCAGGAATAATGGAAAAGATAAAGAATCAAGAAAGAAGGTAAGACAGTCTATCTCACTTTATATATAGTAGACTTCGTCATGTGTCTTAATTTGAAATTTCTCTTAAAAGTAGAACCAAGGGGCCCAGCGTGGTAGCCTAGTGGCTGGAGTCCTTGCCTTGTGTGCACCTGGATCCCATGTGGGTGCCAGTTCATGTCCCAGCTGCTCCAGTTCCTGTCTGGCTCCCTGCTTGTGGCCTGGGAAGGTAGTCGAGGATGGCCCAGGGTCTTGGGATCCTGCACCTGCGTGGGGGAGCCGGAGAAGGCTGCTGGCCTCTGCTTGGCTTCAGATTGGCTCAGTTCTGGCCATTGCGACCAATTGAGGAGTGAACCAGTGGATGGAAGATCTTTTTCTCTGTCTCTCCTTCTCTCTGTAAATATGAGTTTCTAATAAAAATGAATGGATCTTAAAACAAAAAGGATAGTAGAAACAAGGCAGAATTTATTTGCATGTTATTTGAATGATTATGCCAGAATGCTTACTGTCGACTCACTTTAGGTTAGAAGAATCAGACTGAAAGTAAAAAGATGGACAGGAGTAAGCCATTGAGCAGCAGGTGTCAGAGTTGAAGTACCTATGCTGCCAAAGTCGATTTTGAGACAGGAAGTTTTACTAGAGAAAGACCTTGCATTATGATCGGATAATTAGTTCAGTAGGAAGATGTGACAATTGCAAGTGAAAATGTCCCTTAGTGAGAGCCCCCAGGTATAATACAAGCATTAAAAGCTGTTGAAATTGAAAGGAGAAGCAGACAGTTACAAGAGAGACTGTAACAACATGTTATGCTAACATTCTAGACAAGCTAAATGGGAGAAATTCCCATAAGCATAACTTGCCAAACCCGCTTCCAGAACAAGCAGTCTAAATAGACCTTATAGTAAGTGAAGTCCTGTCTTCAGAATTAACAGGCTCAAATGACTTCCTGTCAGATTCTATCAGTACTTAGTATTTTTAAAAATTAAAAAATATTTTTAAAAACTTATTTGAGAGGCAGGGTGAGAGATGGGCAGATATACAGAGCAAGAGCTCTCATCTACTGGTTCATTCCCCAAACACCTGCAGTGGTAGGAGCTGGAGCTTGGCCCAGGCCAAAGCCGGGGACCACGAACTCATTCCTGGTGTCCCGGGAGGGCAGCTCTGTGACCTGAACCATCGCCAGGGCTCCCAGGGTTTGCACTAGAAGGAAGCTGAAATCTGTAACGAGGGCCGGCTGTCTACCCAGGCACTCCAGGATGGCATGCAGTGTCTTCACGGTTCGACTAAATGATAGCTCCCCAAATACTGCTTGTTGATACTGAGATCCACTCATTCTCCTCACATGGGTTTATGTTTTTTAATTCCCTTGCCTATATGTATTTATGCATGGTGAAAGTTGTAATGTGTGCTGCTATTTTTGTGAGTTGTCACATGAATAGACTTCACAGTGATTATTTAGTAACTGTAAGATATTACTTTGTGGAGCTGTCATCAGTCCATAATTTTAGTTTCTTTTTTGGTCACTCAAGATAATGTGGCCAGTACATGTTGGCTTCTATTGAATTATTTTTGAAGGATAGTTTTTTGTTTCTTTGTAGAAAGAAATCCGTGACCTATCTTAGTATTTAACAATTAAATGCCATGTTTTTTATGCATCTCTTTTCCATATATATATATAAACGCATACTGTTATATAAATTAGTTCTTATGTCATCTGCTGCTTTGATGTGGTTATGGTTGTTGAATTTTGGGGGTGCTGATTGGTCACTTACCATCCAGTTATGTCTATACCCTTGATCATAGAAAAAAATTAGCCTTACAATTATTTCACATGTTATCTTTCATAATCATATGTTAAATTGTGTCTATATAATGTATATATACACACACATATAATTGTGTATATATAATGTATATATTTATATATATTAATATATATACATTAATATAATATATATAATATATATACATTAATTTATTCATTTGAAAGTCAGAGCAACCGAAAGGCATAAACAGAGAAAGAACCCCCTTGCAGCATCTCCCAAATGCATGCAGTAACCAGAGAAGGGGCCAGGCGCAAGCCGGCAGTCAGGAGCTTCACGCAGTTCTCCCCCGTGAGGGACAGGGGCCCACACACTTGGGTCATCCTGTACTGCTTTCACAGACAGCTTAGCAGGAAGCCAGATCTGAACCGGAAAGCAGTGCGGGGCTCCAGCAAGTGGCAGCTTCAATTGCTGCACCACACCCCTGACCCCAACATGTGTATTTTGGATTTTTTTACATATATGCACACAGACTCCACAGAAGCACAAATGCTGTGAAGTTCACTCTTTTTCCCAGTTGATTGTGGAAATCTGTTAGCCTACCCTCTTTTTCTCTTTTTTCTTTTGATTTTGATTTGAAAGGCAAACAGCAGAGACCTTCTGTCTGCTGGCTCACTCTTGTGCAACGTCAAGGAGCCCAGAATTGCGTCCAGGTCTCCCATGCAGGTGGTGCTGACTCGGGTCCCAAAGCTGTCCCCTGCTGCCTTCCAGGGCACACGTTAGCAGGGACCTGCGTCAGAGGCACCGCGGCCAGAGCTCCAGGCAGCACTCAGTGTGTGTCCCAGTGACTGCGGCAGTGTGCCTGGCGGCCACCCCGTATTCTCCCTGTGGGTAGTTTTCTTGAACTGGAATTGTAGAATTGTTAGATTAAAATGTATATATTACTTTGGTGTTTTTCTAATGTCTCCTGATGTTTTTTTTTTTTTCTCTAAAAGTCAGATTACCATTGTTTACTAGAGTTGTTACTTGAGGCACATCTCTTAATTTTAAGTTTTCTTGTAGTCACATTAGGAAAGTAAAAAAAAAAAGCTTTGACATATAAACTGACACGTCTAAAGTGGTATCTGTTCAACATTAGTAATAAAAAAATCACCAGTGAGGTATTTTGCGCTTTTTTTATTGTGCCACAAGAATGAAGTATGATTTTGTTTCTCCCAGAAACATTTCAGAAGTGGTCTTGAAAAACATCCAGTTGTAGCTTATGACTGCTTTCCTATACAAATTAAATTAATTGATTAACTAGACAGAGTGAGTGAGAGCACGGATGCCCATCTGCTGGTTCATTCCATGGATGTCCATGGTGGGCAGCGCGGCCCGCCTGAAGCCAGGGGCTTGGGGCTAAGGCCGGGTCTCCCACGTGAGACTCTGGCAGGGACTCTGGAGACATCGGGCCGTCTATTTTAGAGCATCACATTGAGTTTATCTTGAACCAGTTTTTCAGTATGTGGCTAATCTACTATATGCCAGAAAGATTTTTTTTGGGGGGGGGGTTCAAAAAGTAAATTCTTTTTATTTTCTTCATGAAAAATAAAAGCATACCGTCACTAGTTTTCTCTGGTGAGCAGTTTCGGTGAGTGTCTCCCGAGTGTCTCACCTTCCTCGTACCAGTGTCAGCAACAGGTAACGTTCCCAGGGCTTGGCTGTGTCAAGCACAAGGATCATACTTTGCATGCAGCATCCTGCCCGGCCCTTTCACCGCGTTACTTGAGTTCTCAGACGACCAAGTCACTCGCTTCAGGAACCACAAAGCCAAGACCCAGATGGCAGAGTGTTAGTTTTGTCCTTTGTTTATCTTAAAGCACGGGGTGGCGTGTGTGTGGAGGAGCTGGGACGTGTCCTGTTATGTCCTGATTGTGGCTGTCCTCTCTCCTCAAGCATAGCCACGAGGAAGCCTCTGCGTGGAAGCTGTCGCACAGGCGAGAAAGTGCAGCAGCTCTGGTAAGAAGTTATCTTTGTATGTTTTGGCAGTTCTGTCCGGACACATGCACTTTGCGCTTGCTCCGTCACTGTAGTGTTCACATGTTATTGGTGCAGCTGTTACTCCTCTCAGACAGTGTACATCACCATGCTGGAGGCTTTAATGGGAAACTTGTGTTTGCCCTTGTTTGAGAATTCTTGGGCCTGTTGAAGGCAGTCCTGGTCCTGGGGCAGCAGGTGTGCGGACCGCTGCGTGCAGCTTCAGGCACCAGAGCCTTGCTCTTTGGGAAAGCTTGTTGCAGGGAGCTTTGCAGGGAAGCAAATTCAATTGCACAAATAGCCAGTCTTCTCATGGTTGTTCTGCCTTTAAACTGAAAATCAGGAAGATCTGAAGAAAGAGAAGCCACAAAAAAACATGATTCAGACCATTGTTGGTGAGAAATAGCTTAACCTCATTGTTGAGGAGAAGTAGGGCAACCTGGTTTTCAGAAACATGTGAAATCAGGAAGATGCAGGAATTGCCAGTGTCCTTGTATGTGAGGGAGAAGTGCTGGCTGGTGACCCTGGGCCTCTTGTCCTGAGCAGTGCTGGGAACAGTGGCTATGGGGCAGCGGGACCCCAGATGATGGGGTCCTCACCATGTGTCCCCCGTGTGCTCTGTCTCTGCCCCCTACCCTCTCGTCCTCTCCCCTGGCCGAGTGCCTGGCACATGCAGGATATGCTGTGTGTGTTTTTTGAGTGGATCAATTGGACGTTGAAAATGTTGACTAGACACAGGATGTGCTAAAGGGTCACTGGGTCATCCTATGTTTGAACATGAATACAAAGGGTGATACCTACCAAGTTTTGCTTTAGGATTCGTGTGGTAGCTAAGATATGGAAGGTGACTGTAGTTCCCAGCAGTTTATTACATGGTTCATAAAGATTAGATTTTGAACGTCCCCAGCACAAGAAATGACACATGTTCAAGGAAGCAGAAATGCTAACTATTTGAATTTATCCACTACACATACTAAATTATAGTATATCACAAAATATGGATATGGGATTGATTTTTTGTTTCATGCTTTATTTTTTACCTCTAGGAAGTTGAAAAGGAAGACATTGATTTAGAACATCCTGAAGCTGAGGAGTATACACCCAGTTTTGAAGGTGATTTTGAAGTATGTATAAACGTTAAAAATTTTCTCAGTTTAGAAATAGTTGATTCTTAAAAGCCAGTATTTTAATAGCTTTTCTCTTGCACTCTCTTTTTCGTTATTTTTCATACCTGGTGTATGATTGGATTTGCTAGCCAGTTTATAGTTTTGACTGTAACTTTTACAAGCTGATTGTACTCCTATCTGCTTACTAATGTGATGGGAGTGATTTTATGATCACTTCTCATGTGTAACTGTACACAAATACACACTTTTAGATTCTCAGTGTGAATGTTGGCATGTTGTTTCTATACTGTGTGGTTTGTTTTTAGAGAAACACAGTTTACACAGCTGTATAATTCAATAATATTAAAATCATCGAACTACAAAAATCTTTTAAGGACTTTTTCTGTCTTGAATTAGAAATTGTGATGCTCTGTTCAGAATGAGGGCTACTTTAAGTTAGACGTAAAGTGTTCCCCAAACATTGTTATTGTAGGATTACGAAGATGACTTTGAAGTTTGTGATGGAGATGATGACAGTAACAATGAGGCAGAACCAAAAGACAATATGGAAGAACTTCCTCCAGCCCAGAAAAAGGAAATCCAAGAGATTCAAAAAGCCATCCATGCAGAAAATGAAAGGATTGGAGAATTATCTTTGAAGCTGTCTCAGAAGCAAGGGCAGATGGATTCTAACAGGGAGTCCCGGGCAGGTAATTGACGGTGTCCATGCTTATGTGTACGTGTGTACACACCTGTTGAAGGCAGACTCCCAGTACTCCAGCGGGCAGAGAAGTAAGCATTTTGCCTGTCAGCATGATGCTGTGCCTTTTACGTCTGACACTTACTGACAAGTAAGAGACGTGGACCGCGTGGATGTAAGGATTGTCCCGTGGACCATTTCGCAGGCCACCTTCTGCGTGACACCTGCGGCCTGAGAGTGGCCGTGAGCGTGTGTCACGCACCTGTGCTCAGTGGGCAGTGGCACTCATTTTTCCAGTGCCGTCAGCTTCTTGCTCAGTGTGTGAGCACACGGGCTTGTTTTTCCTGATTGCGTTGACTTTCTGCTAAGGGAAGAGTCATGATTATATAAGTAGGAAACTTAAAAATCTCAGCAAATGAGAGTCATGGTGAGACAGGCAGCCGACTGAGAGATTCCCGTGGCTCCTAGGCTAAGCAACATGACGGCCAGTCGCAAAGAGCATTTATGAGCGAGCCTTCCCCTCTGCCCCCTGAGGAGTTCCTTCAGCAAGTTCGCTCCAGTTCTTGGCATCTGGATATGATATTTACAAGAATAGGACAATCATGTCATATGTAGCAACATCTTGGCCAGTGACAGATTGCATACATGACAGTGTACTGTAATTGTATCATGTTGTAGTTATGGCTGTCCCGCATGCTGTGCTGTTTGCTCAAAGATGAGATTGTCTAAAAAGGTAGCTTTAAAGTCTTTGTCACTGGGCAGTGTGGTGGTGAGACTATCTTAAAATGATTTAAAGGAGAAATGATCATTAAACGTAAAATGGTCCTATTATAGGATATCTTAATTTATGTAGTAAAGCAGTGATGAATATAATGAGATACTGTTGATATTTAGCATAATATGATATGCAAAGGGAGCTTCAACAGTGCGATCATTACTCGATTTTGTGTCTGCTGCAGAGCTGGCGGAACTCTGCTGGCAAATGCTGGTCTGGAGTGTTCTGTGAATGTGTAGCTAGAAGCCTTCTGGGAAGCCAGTGGTAGCTGTCCTGTCGGAGCTAAGGATTGCCCTCAGTTTGGCTGTGTTGTGTGGCAAAGGTTCCTGGGTTGGTTGTGTGGCAAAGGTTCCTGGATTTTGTCACGGAGTAGCAGTGTGCACAGAGAAGTTTTATGTGCCGAGCAGCAGGATTTCATGACCACATTCAGAACTTCCCAGGATTCAAAAGTTGCTGAGAGGACAGGATAGCAAGTTAAGCTGCCACCTGCAATGCTGGCATCCCATGTTGGAGTGCCAGTTTGAGGCCCAGACATTCCATTTTGTATCCAGCAGCTGCAGATGCACTAGGGAAAGCAGTGGAAGATGACCCAAGTGCCTGAGTCCTTGCGACCCTGGGCAGACTCAGATGTAGTTCCTAGCTTCTGCTTGTGGCTAGCCCCAGCCTTGGCTATTGCAAACATTTGGGGAGTGAGACAGTGGGTGGAAGATCTCTCTTTCTTTCTGCCCCTCTCCATATCCTTTCAAATTCTTCCATACTTAAGTCTTGTTTTTCTCAAGTTTCTAAGAAGCAAAATTTTTTAAAAGTTCTCAGTTTTCCTAGCAGATCTTTTTAATTAATCAAAGTGTTGCTGAAGATATAGTAATCATATGAGTGACTTTACTAGTGTGTTTCTTAACTGGATTGTAATTCATAATTTTTTCTTTTAAATGACTTGGCAATTTTAAACACTTTGGCGGATTTCAGTAATACCCAAATTGCTAGTTCTTCTTCTTTTTTAATAAAGATTTATTTATTTTTATTGGAAAGACAGATTTACAGAGAGAAGAAGAGACAGAGATAAATATCTTCCATCCACTGGTTTTCTCCCCAAATGGCTGCAATGGCCAGAGTTGAGCTGATTTGAATCTGGGAGCCAGGAGCTTCTTTCGGATCTCCTATGTGGGTGCAAGGTCCTAGGGCTTTGAACCGTCCTCTGCTGCTTTCCCAGGCCATAAGCAAAGATATGGATTGAAAGAGGGATAGCAGTGGCATGAACCAGCACCCATTTGGATGCTGGTAGCCTGGAGGCAGAGGATTAGCCAACTAAGCCACTACACTGGCGCCTCTCCTGTACTTTTGTGAATGTAGGCTCCATGGAGTGGGGTGTCTTTGGCCGTGATGGTTGAAGACTGACTCTGGATGTCATGCTTTCTCCTGAATCAACCTTTTCAGTCTGTTAGAGCAGCTTCGTGATTGGCTGATGACAATCTCTGCAGTAATTTCTCTTTTTCAGTCTGTGCTGAAGTTTTCGTATAGACTCACTTGTCTCTGCCATATGCTGTTCGTGTTGCCCACCCACAAATGTGATGCCTGTGTATGGTGCTTATCACTCAGGGCAGCCCAGCATGTGAACTAATACAGTGCGGCCAGTGTTTTGGTCTAGTGTGTTAAGCTGTCACCTGCCGTTCTGGCTTCCCACATGGATGCTAGCACAAGTCCCAGCTGCTCCACTCCTGTCCCAGCTCCCTGCTGATGCACCTGGGAAGGCAGCAGACTGTGGCCCAGGTGCTTGGCCTCTGCACCCACGTGGGAGACACAGAGACTCCTGCCTTTGGCCTGGCTCAGTTCTGGCTGGTGAGGCCATTAGGGGAGTGAACCAACAGACTGAAGACCTTTCTGGCTTTCCCTCTTTCTTCTATAACTCTTCCTTTAAGATAGGTTAACAATAACAGCAACAACAACAACAAAAAAAACCCTAAAAAAATAAAACCTAATGAATTGCTTGTTTTCATGGGGGCCTACCGTATCATCTTTTATTTTGGGGAACAGTGGAGGGACATTACGCTGAGTTGTATATGTCTTCTTAACTGTTTTTAAACTTACAGTGTTTGTATACATAGAGCAGATGAGCAGTACAATTTGCTTTGTTGCCTGAGAGTTATAGAAGAAATACGCAGGGGCAGACCTTAAATGTGCTTGGAAAATGTTTAGTTTCATTGTCATTAGTTTTAAGAGCTTATCAAATGTATTTGTTATGTATTTTGCTTTATTTTTGTCTTTTTTTTTCTTTGAAATAAGTATTTCCATACCAACTGATTAGCTTTTGTCCCTTGGCACAATTCTCCTTCCAGGGAATACTTCTCCTTCCAAAGCCCCTGTTTGTGGAATTTTTGTGGATTTTGCGACAGCCTCACACCGTCAGAAAAGTAGGACTCAGGCCCTGAAGCAAAAGTAGGTACACTGGGGAGTTTGTCAAAGGATTGTGGAATTCCAGGGTAGTTTTCTTCAATGCTTGTAACAAAAAAAAAAAAGCTTTTTCTTTTTGTTTCATTACTGATTGTTCAAGTATATGCTTTAATTTGCCCTACATTTTTCTTTGTGTCCAGATGTTGTGTCGATAGTGCAAGTGTGTGTAGTGCTGTCTTGATGTTTGACGTGTAATGCGTATTGTTAAATTTGTTAAAACTCCTGGGGCATTACTCTGGGAGTCCAAGGCTTGTTCTGGCTGAAGCTGAATCACAACCACACATTCAGTAAGCGTAGGGGCCACAAACGTCCACGAGGAGCGCAAGCATGGCTCCCGTAACACGGCCGGAGGTGTGGCATTGCTGGCCTTGAAGATCGCATAGTCCCAGAGCAGCCTTGTGAGTTGGGCATCACTTCATTTATTTTTCAGTTGAGGAAGCTAAGGAAATTAGTAATGATTAAGAAACTATGGGTCTGCACACAGGCCTCACTACGTGGGACACAAAGATTAGTCACGCCTCACTGGGGTATTGGGGATTTCTCTGCACACCCATCCTAAAAAAAAATGTATTCTACCTAAACTGATAACTGTATGGAATCAGGTTGAATACAAACCAAAATTGAAATGTCTATGAAGAATTCACAGGATGTAGTTAAGAAACCGCATCTTCCTATCAACATACTATTAATCAATACCATGTCAATTAATGCCATAAGGTTGTAAATGGCTGTTGATGTTATGTCCGGGCCTTTAATTGATTGGGATGATGCTTTGCTGGCTGTACCTTCAGACCAGAGATGGTCTCACCAAGAAATCGTTGAACCTATTAGGATAATAAGACACTGGACTCTATGCTTGGTAAATACTTCCAATGAAAGAACCTCAAATGAATTTGAACTGTGGTAACGCAGCAAGGTGGAGAAATCCACCATGGGGAGAGGGTTTGGGGAGAGGTGGGGGGAATCCCAGTGCCCATAACACTGTGTCACATAATGCAATGCAATTAATAAAATAAAATTAAAAAAAAAAAAAAGAAAATATGGATCTGGCACAGTTGCCTAGGGGCCAGAGTCCTCGCCTTCCTCATGCTGGGTTCCCATATGGGTGCCAGTTCGTATCCTAGCTGCTCCACTTTGCTTCCAGCTCCCAACTTGTGGCCTGGGAAAGCAGTCGAGGAAGGCCCAAAGCCTTGGGACCCTGCACCTGCGTGGGAGACCCAAAAGAAGCTCCTGGCTTTGGATCAACTCAGCTCCTGCCATTGCGGTCCCTTGGGGAGTGGACCAGCGGATAGATGATCTTCCTCTCTGTCTCTCTTCCTCTGTGTAAATCTGACTTTCCAATAAAAACATAAATGAATCTTTTTTAAAAAGCTAATATTAGGTGATGCATGTGATGAGTGCTTGTATGCAGTAGTGTGTGCCACTTGATCCTATATTCAACATGTATCACCTCACCATTCTTGGAAGCCCTATTTCATAGGTAAGAGACAAGGACTATGTTTTTAAAGATAAAAATCTAGTGACTGATGGGGTAAGGTTTTTTTTTTTTTTTTTTTTAAGATTTATTTATTTATTTGAAAGGCAGAGAGAGACAGTAGTCTTTGGTTGGCTGGTCCACTCCTCAAATGACCTCAAAGTCGGGAGCCAGGAGTTTCTTATGAATCCAAGCACTTGAGCCATCTTGCACTTCTCTCCTCGGGCTGTGGGCAGGGAGTCAGTTTGGTAGTGGAGCAACTGGGGCATAAACTGGCGTCCGTGTGGGATGCCAGCGGTTCAGGTTGGTAGCTTTACTTTCTATGCTGAAACCCTGGCCTATAGACCTGTGGTTTTTTTTTTTAAGATTTTTTTTTTTTTAAATTATTTCATTGGAAAGCCAGATCTACAGAGAGAAGATGCAGGAAGATCTTCCATTTGCTGGTTCAATCCCCAGTTGGTCGGAATGGCTGGAGCTGAGCTGAGCTGAAGCCAGGAGCCAGGAGCCTCTTCTGGATCTCCCACGCAGGTGCAGGGTCCCAAGGCTTTGGGCCGTCCTCGACTGCTTTCCCAGGCCACAGGCAGGGAGCCAGAGGGGCCTCTATAACTGTTTTTATCCTTGGACTGCTAAAAGTGAAAATCAAATTTCTAATAACCGTGAACCTCAACATTTAGAAAAGATATATTCTTAAGACAACCATCTGCTATATTCAACCAAAATATATTTGAAAGATTAATTTTTATTGCAAAGTCAGATATACAGAGAGGAAGAGAGACAGAGAGGAAGATCTTCCGTCCGAAGATTCACTCCCCAAGTGACTGCAATGGCTGATGCTACTCCGATCTGAAGCCAGGATCCAAGAACTTCTTCCAGGTCTCCCACATAGGTGCAGGGTCCCAAGGCTTTGGGCCGTCCTTGACTGCTTTCCACAGGCTGCAGGCAGGGAGCTGGATGGGAACTGGAGCAGCCGGGACATGAACCAGCACCCATATGGGATTCCAGTGCATGTAAGGCAAGGACTTTAGCCACTAGGCTATTGTGTTAGGCTCTTAAGGTAGATTTTGGTAGTGCAAGAATACATGCTGATATATTTAGCTTACTCATTAAAAAGCAACCAGACCATAGAAGGATAAAGTCCATAATTAAACATACATGATTAATCCAAAGTTATACAAGAAAGACAGGCAGAAAAAGTACAGAATGTCTAGAAAATTAGGAAAAAAAAACCCAGGAAGATAAGAGATTAAACCAAAAAATTTCAGTCATTATAACATATGTTAAAGGATTAAAAACTAAAATATAAGACAAAGATCGCGTCAATTGAGAAAATATGTGCCGTGGATATTCCTTTCAAGGAATAAACCTTACACGTCAGGACACAGAAAGTTGAAAGTAAATGAATTGAAATATAGCTGTCAATCAAACATTAATCAGAGTAATAATTATCACTAATATCAGAGCAGGGAATTTGAAAGCAAGGAAGTTACTAGACATACAGAGAAGAACTTCATAATGAGAAAAGTGTCAACTCAGTAACTCAGTGTAACACTCCTGTGTGTGCTCAATAGTAGTATTACAAAAAACGTGTAGAGCGAAACTGGATAGAGCCAGGTGAACCTGGCACAGTCACAGCTGGGGAGTTGAATACGTTTCTCTTGGTAGTGATAGAAATTTGGTAGAAATGGGAAAGTTAGTGGAGAGATTGAAACTACCTGGCTAACAAATTATGCTTAACATACACTGCAGATGAACCCTGAAGTTAGCATTACGGCATAGCACGTTAAGCCACTGCCTGCACTGGCAGCATCCCAGGTTTGAGTCCCAGCTACTTTGAATTTAACTTCCTGCTTATGCTCCTGTGAAAGCAGCAGAAGACTGTCCCAGGTGCTTGGACCCCTGCACTCACACAAAGGAGAGCCTGCCTCCTTTGTTTGTCCTTTTCCAGCCCTGTCTGTTTCAGCCATTTGGGGAGTGAGTACAATTGGATGGAAGATCCGTCTCTCTTGGCTTTCGAATCAATAGATAAATCTTTAAAAAGGATTTAAAAATATATAGAAAACAATATTGTATAAGTTTCTTGTCAAAGAAAGACAGGGAGAGAGGATGAGAGAGAGAAGGAGATTCTTCCTCCACTCCTGATACTTCCCAGCTAGCCATCACAGCCAGAGCTGGGCCAGGCTGAGGGCAGGAGCTTACTGTTCCATCCTGGCCTTTCACGTGGGTGCTAGTGGCCCGAGGCTTTGGGTTGTCTGCTGTGTTCCCGGGCTCAGTAACAGGAAATGGAATTGAAAGCGAAATAGCCAAGTCTTGAACTGGCACACTAATACAGAATGCTGGGGTTGCAAGCAGCAGCTTATCCTGCAGCCTAGCAGCGGCTTTACCACAAAGCTGGCCCCGCCCGTATTCTTTTCAGTCTAGCATGAAATGTTTGCTGACAATAGTAGAATTGTGCTGAAAAATAGTAAATAATTAAAAATTCCCCAAAGTTTGAAAGTTAAGTTTTCTAGTTTTTAATAAAAATAAATAAATAAACTTATTTATTTATTTAGTATTGGGAGTCAGATTTACAGAGAGAAGGAGAGACAGGGAAGATCTTCCATTTGCTACTTCACTCCCCAAGTGACCTCAGTGCTCTTGAACTGAGCTGATCCAAAGCTAGGAGCCTGAAGTTTCTTCTGGGTCTCTCACGTGGGTACAGGGTCCCAAGGTGTTGGGCCATCCTCAACTGCTTTCCTAGGTCACAAGCAGGGAGCTGGATGGGAAGTGGAACAGCCGGGATACCAATCGGTGCCCATATGGGACCCTAACACATTCAAAGAGGACTTTAGCTGCTACACTATCATTCCAGGCCTGGCCCTTCTGGTTATAACAAACCGTGTGTCAAAAAAGAAAACAGAAGGAGAATTACAAACTATTTTTAACAATAATGCAAATAATGACGTTCATTACTGTGTGTGGGATACAGCAAGGCAACACCAAGAGACGCAGAGACAGAAGAGGTTGTGTGTGAGCAATGCAAGCCTTTATCTCCAGAAACTGACCAAAATAAGCAGTAAAGGGTTAGTTAACAAAAGCAGAACTCTGTAAAATTGAAAGCAGGTATAATAAATCCAGCCAACTCAAAGTTGATGCTTTGAAAAGATTTATACAATTTTCTTTCATATCTGGAATGATAGGAAATGGAATGAGGGGATGATATGTCATTCCTTCTGTTTAACATTGGACAAGATTCTAACTAAGCAAGAAATGTAAGTTAAAGATCAGAAATGAACACTGTCACTCACCTGAAGTGGAATTATTTCTGTAAAAAATTTAAATCTAGAGTTATGAATTACTAGAATTTATGAGTTAATGTGAATAAATGAATTCAGCAAGGATGCTGAATAAGAGGGTAATATGCAACATTCAGTTATTTTTCTTTGCATTGACAAAAAATACTAGATTGTCACCATTTAAAAACGGATTAAAATATCCATAGTAGAATGTGTGCAAGACCTCAATATAGAAGATTTAGCAGATATTACTGAAATTCAGGCAATCTAAAATAAGGGGGAGAATATCATGTTCATGAGTTGAAAGTCTTTTACAAAATATAGTAAAGATGTTAGTTTCTTCGAGAGTAAATGTGGATTGAAATCAATCCAATCAAAATCTCAGCAGTTCAGACATTTCAGAATGAAGCTTCTGAAATTCACTTGGGAATACAAAGGATGAAGACTAGTGAAGATAGAACTGAAGAAGTTAGAGACTTGAACTCAGCAATCACGATCTAAAGTCACAGTAGTTCAACTCTGCTACTGGCACAAGAACAGAAAGCAGAGCAGTGTGGAGCGTGGGGAGTTGAGCAGCAGATGTACGTATGACACCTCCTGACTTGTGCATTGTCAGTGCAGTGTAGATGGGGAAAGCGTATCCTTTTCCGTGAGTGACTCTGGAACCATTAGATGTATGTGTGGAAACAAAGGGGCACGAGCCACGGGCTGCACTCTGCAGAGAGGCGATGAGAGATCGTGGAAAGTAGCAGGCTTCTTCTGTTGGCGGTGCTAAGTGCCTGAAGGGGTCTTGGAGAGGACAGACTGGGGGCAACACATTGGAAGGAAGAGATGGTGGCAGGAGAATAAGATGACGGAAATATGACAATACAAAGCAATGTGGGAAAGAGGGAAGTGAGGACGGAGCCCAGCTGGTCAGTGAGATATTGGTAGGATGGTTCCACTTGTTCTCTGTGTATTTATGGAGTGGCGGTAGTGGGGAATTAGAGGAAATGAAAAAAAAAAATCTCTCCACGTGCAGCTTGTTCTGCTGTGGAGTGAGAGGTACTAACTGCCCAGGAGGGGCCAGCCCCAGCATGCACAAGTAAGGGTGTTTGGAGGAGGAGCAGCATCAGGCAATGGACAAGAGCCGTCAGTGCGGTGACAGGAAGCTGAGCATGGAAGCATGTGGTATTTCAGAAGACCTGAGAGGTGCCAAGTGATGAATCCTGTCGATGCTGCTGTATTTCAGGGTTTTATGGGAAACACTTAGAGATCTGTTGTGAGGCCAAGAATGAGGATGTCAGACTGGCTGGGTCGTCTGCTCACAGCTTCACGAGTGTCACGTAAAGATAATCCTTCTAGCCCAGACAGAGTAGCTTGTGAAGTGACTTGTTACTCAGAAACTTCCAGGGGAAGAAAAGCTGGGGGCATACTTGGTCCCACATGGTCATTTTAACAGTTATTTTAAAAAAGTGTTTCTTTTCATCAAAAAGGAGAGAGGGAGGAAGAGGTGGTGAGATAGATCAGTCAACCTTCATTGATTGGTTCTCTCCCCAAATGTCCATCAACAGCCAGGGCTGGTCCAGGTCAAAGCCAGGGTTGTGGAGCCGTATTCAGATCTCCCATGCACTTCCCGGGTTCCCAAGCCCTTGACTGTAACCTCCACGCATCCATTAGCATGAGGCTGAATCAGAAGTGGAAGAGCTGGTACTCCAACTGGCACTCCAGTATGGGATGCCATTTACCTGAGTGTGACATAACCCCACTGCACCACAGCACCCACCCCTATTTTAAACTCACATTAGGACAAAAAATGAGTTCTTGCCAGAAGCCAACATCTAACCATAACACTTTGACCTTTATTGCTATGTGTATTACTCAATTTCATTTTTTTATTATTTCCATTTTGTTTTAAAGAACACGGAGTACAAAGCTGCTTCGGCTTATTGACTTAGATTTTTCCTTCACTTTCTCTCTCTTGGATCTACCACCAGTAAATGAATATGACATGTATATCAGAAACTTTGGGAAAAAAAATACCAAGCAGGTTAGTATGAGATGTATTCACTAAATGACTGAATGCAAGTCATGATGTAAGTGTATGCTTTTCTGTTTCTTTTTCTGGGATGTTAGAATGTAGGAATGGTCATGGAGGATCTAGGTGCTCATTAACTGGAGAGACTGTGCGTATGCAGGTTCTAAAGGGAAGGTCCGAAGCTGAAGGAGCGTGAATGAGTGATCCATGCGTAATAGGTTGCAGGCGCTGGTTTGAACCTTTTAATACAACTTAGCTGGAACAAATGTTTTATTTAAAGCCATGCAGAGTATCAAATTTGGACTTGTTTCCTTGGGATTCAGGTGAGAATGTGACGGTCATTCTTTCAAATATAAAATCCTTACAGTTTGATGATCTCCAGATGCTTCTGAATTCTCCCTAACCTGGGCCCTTTCATCCGCGAGCTTATCTGTGTACTCTGTCTGCTGTGCCTCCTTCTTCCTCTTCCAGGAGGAAGAGCTCTGTGTTATTTCTCAACATCCGAGGCCCTTTCTCTCTGGATCTTTCCCTGATGACTTCCACTAAATCCTCCCTCTTCCTTCGTAGTCACTGCAGCACATCCCACATCGTTTTATATTTCTCCCTAGTGTTCTAATATTTGTCTTGATTATGTGATAGTTTCACTTCACAGCAGGGTTATAACATTTTTGAAACCAGGCAACATATCTTACATTTTGTCTTACGCCTCTGTTTGTGGTGCCATCTAAAAGTTAACAATATGCGTTTGGTGCACTGAATAAATAATACACTTTTAATGGAAGGCAGGTCACGGCACGAAACTTTAATCCTCATTTTGCAGTAAATTCATTCTGACTGTGTAAATTACTCAATTTCTTGGTGCTTGTTCTCTTCATTGCACAGCCACTGGTAGCAAAATTACCTTTTCTGAAGCATGTACCTTTTTGAAATCAAAAGCAATTGCATTTGGATTTGCAAAGCCAGTACATTGAACAGGCTAGGATGTGAGTAGGCTAAATGTTGTTGTTGTGAAACTAAGGTTGAATTGTTTGATGTGGCTCTTTGAAAAATCAGGCCTGTATATTTCAAACGTGTAAGACAAACAGTTTTTGCATGGTTGTTCTTTATACCATTACACCTGTTTTGGACATTAGCAAGGACAGTCATCGTTAACTTTCAAAAAATCAGATTGTATTCATTTTTAGTTCTGAAAGTGAGTCTCGGTATTAATTCCTGCATGCCTTTATTTTTAAGGCGTATGTTCAGTATAATGAAGATAATATTGACAGAGATATTCAAACTGAAGAAATAGAGACCAAGGATGTATGGACCCAGCATCCAGGAGAGAGCGCTGTTGTGTCTGGAGGTAATACCATTGTTTGGCTCTTGAGAGTTGAATATCACTGTTAGTACCTTGTATCCTTTTGTTGAAGAGACCAGCAACATACATGAGAGCAATTGAACTACATCATGGATTAAATCTGTTCCAAAATTTGTAATTTTTATTCCTAAATGCAGAGTGAAAGATTTCACATTCCAAACAACCACTTTGCAATTGAATTTTTAGGAAACCTTCTGCTCTTAGGTTGACAACAGTCTGTTCTCATCAATGTAAAATGTTCGTGTTCCATGTTTAGTTTGCAAGAATATCCTAAAAACAGACCAGCGGTTCCTAGGGCACATGGTTTCCTGTAGCTACACTGTAGCTGTTTGCATGGGAAACATCTCACTGGCTGAGTTTTTTTTTTTTTAAATGAGGCACTTCATTCCTTAGGAAATTATGTTACTCCCTTTCCTAAGATAAGCCTCACTTTAAGAAATCAGCATACCTACACTTAATATACAATCATGGAATCGGATGTTTTCACTGTTTCTCTTCATATGTTTACATAGAGTGTGTTCACAGGCCTTCTATAAAACAAAATGTAGTTGTTTTGGGAAAAAACCCCGCTAGTAGAGCAGAAGATCAGATGCCCAGTCTCTTGACTTTTCCTTCCAGGGCTGGGGACACTCATCTGCAGCCGCTCTGAATGCTAAGGCGTGTGCTGCGTGATTATTGTAGAATCAGTGTGGTAGATTGAATGTAATTTTATCTTGTTGTTGTTGGTTAGGTAGTGAAAAAAGAGGTGCTGCTGATGCTACAGTCATACCAAAGATCGACACTCCGAGGCTCTCCCACTTCCTCCGCTCAGCGTGCCAGGTAGAGTCCACACCGAGTGCGCCAGTCCGTGTGTAAGTGCCGAAGGTCTTATTGTACCTAGGAACGTAGGAGCTGCTGAAATCTTGGAGCCTTCGTAGGTTTAAGATCAGTTATTCGTTTAAGGTATTATTTTCCCCCAGAAGTGACAGTGGTATTTTCTTTAAGTGCAAATGACACGGAGTTGTTTATCACTAAAATACCAAGTATGCATTTTATACGTTAGTATTTGTTTCTTGTATTTTTAAGTAACTATAGAATAAAATCCAGATGCATCAGTTGATAAGACAAACATAAATATTGGGTACTTGAATAGCAAATGCATGATTTCTTTTCGGATTTTAGTTTTAAAGATTTATTTATCTATTTCAAAGTCAGAATTAAAAGACAGAGCGAGTGAGTGAGCAAACGAGAGAGATCACATATTCGTTGATTGACTCTCCAAGTAGCTGCAATAGCCAGGTGCAAGCAAGGCCGACGCCATGAACTTCATCTAGGGCTCCCACCTGGGTGGCAGAGGTATCGATGCCTGGGCCAGCTGCTTTCCCAGGCTGTTGTTAGCAGGGAGCTGCATTGGACGTGGAGTCAGAGTAGCTGGAACACAAATTAGTGACTCTGTGGGATGCTGGCGCTGCATCCAGCTGCTTTAGTAGCTGTGCCACTGTCCTGAACCCTAGCCCCTAGATTTTTATTTTAATTAATTAACTTTATTTGAAAGACCGAGTTACGTATACACGCACGCGCACACATACACGCACACGTACACAGGGAGATATAGAGAGATCAGTCTTCCATCTTGTGGTTCATTCCCCAAATGGTTGCAGAGGATATGGGTAGGCCAACCTGAAGCCAAGAGTCTAGAACGCTCTATCTCCCACATGGGTGCTTGGCTGCCTGTCACTGCTTTCCCAAGTCCATTAGCAAGGAGCTGCATCGGAAGTAACACAGCTGGTATTTGAATTAACACTCATAGTGGATGCCAGTAATGGCTTAACCCACTACACCACAACCCTGGCTCCAACTCATCATTTCTTAAACTGATTATGGAAGTTTTCCAATATCCATTCCAAGATAAGGCGAGGGTATTGGGAAGCCTATGAATTTTCCGTAGATGTTTCTTCATAGCAATATCATCTCATCTGACACTGTCCCCCAATACCCCATCACCTATACCTTCTATTTGGTTGAAATAAGTGTTAGTCCTCATAACTTAAAGATTATCAAAAGATTTTTTAGGGGTCATTTCTAATTATCAGCAAATCTGAAGTCATCCCTTATCTGTCAACCCTCCTTGACCTTCCACACCATATTTTTTCTTTCTTTTTTTTTTAAATCTTCATTATCTTTCCTTTTTTCTCTTTATTTTTATTTTGTGGATGATCTTTACATATTTGATTAGGGCACAAAGGGTCAAGGGCTACAGGAAAGTGGGTGAGACCATTGTTATCACATTCTCTTTTTTCCTACTTGTATCTGGGGGAGGGGAAAGATAAAAGGAGAAGCCACACCCAGGCTCCCACCCATCTCAGGGTCCCTGATTTGGGACATGCTCCAAGGGCTGTACTTAAGTAGTTTTGATAGTTCAACAGTTCTGAATTGCTGCCGATCTCGCTCACCACTCCAAGCAGGGCGAAATCTCTCCAGAATCCACTGAATCCACTGGCTGACATAGTCCGCCTTAGAGTCTCCAATTGCCTAGATTTTCACTGCCAGCATGTGGCTGGGGTAGTTGATCGATTTGTTCTGTCCTCGTTGTCTCTTCTGGTACCAGGTGTCCTGTGCATACTCCAGTGTACTGCATGTCCTCCATGCACAACTGGCCATGCTCTCCACTGTTTCGTCTGAGCCACTGAGGAGGCCCAGCTCTGATGCAAGCATGCCACAGTCAGACCATGGACCCTGCAATTTTCTCCATCATTGAAGTTCTGAGTCCAGTGGTTCAGTTGGGAGATCAATCCCCAAAGAAATCTCATCTCAGGCAATCCCAGACCTGATTCTTGTGTGTGCTTGCCAATACAGGGTCCGGCACAGTCTGTTGCCCCAATCACATTACATGCACACTAACGGTTGCAGTTGCTGGGTCAGTTCTGTCTCCAGCCCTGTCCTGTACGCAAAGTAATGGGAGTTGCGGCCCAGCCCGATCCTGCCCACCATACACTTAGCCACATAAAACAGTGTGAGCTGAAGCCTAGTTGGGGTGACTCTCAGTAACCCCACCAGGCCCACCCCCTGCCCTGATTCCCATGTTTGCTACTATGTACAGCAGATTGGTCCAGTCTGTCCCACATCCCATTCAGCTCCCATACATGTCAGTGGGCATTGAAGCATAGTTCATCCTAACCAGCTCTACTGTCCAGCCCATACACCTGCTGGCCGGTGCCACTCTCTGTTTAGCCATGCCTGCCCAGTCCTGGTTCTCATGCTCACTAGTCAGAGTAGCAAGCCAAGAGGGAGGTGCTCACTGTTTCTCTTCCTAGCCCACTTCCACTCCTGCATCTTGCACTCTCCAGGTGGTTCTGGAGTTTAACTTGGTAGAATTAGCTCCCCGTGCCAGCTTGTGTAGCTGGTGCTGCGGCAAAGCCCAACTAATCCACACCCACTCTGCTTATGCATGCACCGGTAGGAAGAGGCAACCCAGTTTGACTTTCCCTTGATCCAGCTCACATGAGGCCAGCAGGTGTTGTAGCCCTGCCCGGCCTGCTCTGCCCCCAGTCCCAGCTCTCATGCTCATCAGTGGGGGTAGTGGTCCAGCAAGGGAATCCCATGAGCCCCCACTGCTGTGCTCGTTCCTAACTCCCCAGTCTCACATGAGCTGGTTGAGTTCTGCAACCCATTCTGGCATGACGCACCTCACCTCAGCATTTGCCAGTGGGTGCTGTAGCCTGGGTTAGGCCTACATAGCCCCTACACTATCTACCCCAGGACTTGGCACTCTGCTGGTGCCTGCAGCTGGACGGGCCACCCCATGTTTCTTAAACGTGACACTAGCAGTTCTCACCAAATGTTCCCCGCCTTTGATTTATCTCCTCATTATCATGAAAAATCCCTTACCTTCCTCACACCCATCATGTCCAATTCTTACTGGACAATTTCTGATTTCTTCACACATAGCCTTTTTTTGTAAGAGTTATTGATTTATTTGAAAGGCAGGGTTACACACAGTTTTTCCGTCTAGTTCAGCTGGCACTGAACCAGGCTGAGGCTGGGAGCTTCTTTTGGGTCTCCTACACGGGATTAGTGACCCAAGCATTGCTTTCCCAGGCCATTGGCAGTGAGCTGGATTGGAAGTGGAACAGTTGAGACGCAAGCCAGCACCCAGATGGGGTGCCAGTGTTGCAAGTGGCGGTCCTAACCTATTTTTGCTCAGTATTTCTTAACTTCCTCTCTTTTATCCCTACATTGTCACCACACAGCCTCTGACTTCTTGACCTGCATCCTGTCAGTTATGATGAGCTCATCTTTGCCTTCTCCAAACTCAGTCTTGTCATTGCTGCAGTCTAAGGCTAGCCTTGTGGTGCAAAAGTGTGACTTCTTATTGGTCATGACCAAAACCCGCTGAGAGAGGTGGCATGCGTGGTGTTTCCTGATACTTCGTTGCACACTTCAGGGTGTTGAATCATTAGCCCTTTTCCTTTCTCTGTGATTTTTAACAGTTCATTTATTGAATACATATAGTGAGTATATGTGTGTCTGTCTGTCTGTCTATCTGGTGAAATGATATGGAAGATCAAGTAATGGCCCTCCTATGGAGTTTGATCTTTTCCTGTTAGTTTCTTTTGTTGATGTGAAATGACTATAAAATCTTTTGGTTTTTTGTGATATTGTGGGACCAAGTATTTGTGGAAACAGATACAGTGAAAAGATACTTCAAAAGAATGTAAAACATAATTTTTTTTATTAAAGATTACTTGTGTTTCTTTCCAAGGTGATTGCTATTTTGCTGGAAGAGGATCATCTGGCAGCTACGCCTAGCCAGAATCTCAGGGCGCAGGAGCACACCCTGCATTTCAGTGACAGCTCCTCTCAGCTGAATACTCACCTGTCATTCCTTCAGTGTAAGAGGCCATCCTTGAATGTGGCTTTTAACATAACTATTAACTTTATGTTGCAATAATGATCTTTAATATGACATTCTATTTTCATGCATTGGGGTTGGTAGTATATAAAAAATGGGCTGAGTTTCTGTTGAATACAAAAGTGGTTAGATTTTTTTCCCCCTTATTTATGTTAAATTTGTGGTTAATAACTTGCATAAAATTAGAGGAGTGACACAATATTTTAAATAATGGAATCTTTATCTGAATGTTAAGTAAGATTTTCTGTACTATTTTTAATGCCAATTAAAACTAATTTGTTATCTGAGAGGCAGAGGTAAATAGGAAGAAATTTCTCATCTACTGATAAGCTACCCAGATGTTTCCAGCAGCCAGGGTTGGACCAGATTGAAACTGAGAGCCAGGCGTTCAGCCTGGGGCTCCCCTGTGGCTGCAGGAATCCAGACGCTCGATCCATCCGCCACTGCCTCCCAGGGCAGGGATGCTGTGATCAGGAGAGGAGCCACGCCTCAAACCCAGGGACCCTCACATGGGATGGGATGCAGCCTTCCCAAGTGATGTCTTAACTGCTGGGTTTGTTTAAATCCTAATTTGTTTTTCTCTACTTGAAATACGGCAGAATCGGAGCAGCATGAAAAGAGTTTGTAGGTCAGAGTTGCAATAGGTTAAACGCATCGTGGGATGCCCAGTTTTACATTGATGTTTGTGATGGAACAGAAAATGCTCAGTAAACGGAGTACGTAGTATCAGACTTAAAATATAATTACATATAGATATTTAAATAAGTGAACAAATTGCATTTGCAAGACCAAAGTTAAGTTTTTTAAGCTGTGGACCTCTTTGCCTTGAACAAAATGCCAGTGAAGTAACTGAAGGCCAGGTGATAAGAATCAGGAAAGCCCAGTGTTGGTCTGTCTTCCTCATGTCTCTCCTATTCCACATCTGATGGATTTCTTTTTTAGTGGAAGATTAGCTTGGGCGGAGTTTTTAATCACAGGCTGTGGCCTTTTACCAAAATCCACATCTCATGCAGTGTACAGTTTTCCAAGACCATGTTTGTTTTTTTTATTAAATCAAAACTTACCTGGGTGTTCTGAAGTGGGTTAATTTATCATGGATTCTGACAAATCACTGAAACACAACAATATTTTTCTTATCCCCAGATCGAAAAGTATCCTGCCTGCTTGCCTCTCGAGTTCAGAGGCAGACCGTAGTCTCTGTCCATGATTTACCTGACAAGGCAGTCGTGCAGCCACTGGATGGAAGATACCTCCTCTGCGTGTGGGATATTTGGCAACCTTCAGGGCCCCAGAAGGTTCTGATATGTGAGTCCAAGGTACAGCTGAGAGTCTCATGTTTGATGATGCAAAGCCCACCAAGGAGAGAAGGAAGCGAGGGACAGTGCAGGAGAATGGACACTTAGGGTCAGTTCTCTTGTCCCACTGTCACCCCCAACTCTTTTGCATGGGTGACAAGTCACATGTTGGAATTCTTAGTTGTGGGGATGGACTCAACCTGAGAGGCCCAGAATTGTTGTAGGTCATCCTCAAAGGTCCACTGAAAATTAGGTTATGAGTGTAGTTTTAGGTTCATTGTGAACATTGGCCAGCCTGGACACGGCTCTGGGATCCTGGCACTATTTGAGACCCAGACAGTTTAGAGATTTCATCGTATTGTGTTGAGGCTTCTCAGTGTAGTTTGCAGTGCTCTGCTGTTGTGAGCCCTTCCTGAGTTTTGTTTGTTTTTTTGGCCCCTGGTTGCTGATCACTTTCTTTTTGACAAGGGAAATATGTTCAGGCATCGCTCGGATGTCCTTGGGACACCGGCTCCAGAACTCCCATGGATGCTAACATCAGGATGCGCAAGTCCCTTGGATAAATTGTATAGTATTTGCAAATACCTTACCTGATGCTCCTATGTACTTTAAAATCATTTCTATGTTATAATACCTTACATGGTGCTCCTGTGTACTTTAAAATGATCTCTACATTAGATATAATGACTCATACAAAAGAAATATCATGTTAGCAATAATCCTTTAGTATTTATGGACTAATAAGAAAAGTGTCTGTGCATGTTTAGTATGGTATTCTTTGGGATATCGTCCATCCATGATTGGCTGAACTGTGGATGTGTGGAATCCATGGCTGTTAATGACTGTCTATAAATTTCTCGCCCTCTAAACCATTGATTTCCAACAAAGTTGTGGAAAATAATACTTTTGTTGGTAGCAGTATAGGGAGACTTGAAAAAAAAAATCAGAGCTTTCTGCAGCACTATTTAAACAAAATTACAGAGGGTGTAATTGCCATTTTGAGGTTTGCCTAACAGAGTTGAATGGAAGGGATCGTTGCACAGAGAGAGAGAGAGGGAGGGAGAGATACAGATATCATCGTCTCTCTGCGTGTGTCCGTTTCAGGTCACGTGCTGCTGCTTCAGCCCCGTGAAGGCGTTCTTGCTCTTTGCCGGCACGGCGCACGGTTCCGTTGTGGTATGGGATTTAAGAGAAGACTGTAGGATCCATCATTACGTGAAGCTGAGTGACTGCTTTTGGACATTCAGGACACCAACATTCTCCACGGGTCAGTGGCAACGGTGTGCTGGTAATGTGTCTTCTAGAAAAGAGATGCAGACGTGAAATTTTGAATTTATTTGCATTTATTCACTCAGGTAATCTCTGGGAATGGGATATGCCTCATGAGCAAAAGAAACATATCCTACCCCCCCCCCCCCCAAAAAAAAAAGATACTGCTAGGAAAACAAATCCATTCAAGTAATGCTAATCTGGCTTATCTGGTGGCCAGTAATGAATAATTGGAATTTTCTTCCTTATTAAATTCATAGTGCCTTGAAACTCCTCCGTGAAATAACTTGAGTTGGAACTGGCACAGTGCAGGCTAATCTGCTGCCAGTGGTGCCAGCATCCCATATGGACACCAGTTTGAGTCTTGGCTGCACCACTTCCTACCCATCTCCCTGCTTATGGCCTGAGAAATCCGTGGAAGATGGCCCAAACCTTGGGCTCCTGTATACACATGGGAGAACTGGAGGAAGCTTCTGGCTCCTGATTTCAGAGCAGCTCAGCTCTGGGCCATGTGGGGAGTTACCCTGAGGATGGAAGATCTCTGTCCTTCTCTTCTCTGTAACTCTTTCAAGCAAAAACAAATTTCTCTCTCTATGTAAGAAGAAGTTATCATCAAGTCAGTTAGTTGTGTGTGCTCCCAGGACAGGGCTCACTAGCCCCGAAGCGGTCAAGCACAGTTAGTGAGGTGCGATGAGGCCTCTTGCGGTCCACAGTCGACAGCGAGCAGTTTGGCCACTACAACAGATAGTATTTCCTCTTCGTTGTGTACGTTGCCTCATTTCAGTTTCTCATCGTATTCCTGTATTCCGGCTTCTGAGAGAGATGATGTGTGTCCGGGGTCACGCCGAGTCCGCAGGCCGGCCTGCACACACACACCCAGTTTCAGGACCTAACGCTCTGCTCTGGCACTCGTGCAGGAGGTGGAAGTCCCTGCCCACATGCACACACTCCCTCTCATCCTTATCGCGTTCCTGCTCAGGAGTCTTAGCTGTCACCTCTCTCCTTTCCCATGGCTGCTCATCTGTTTTCTACCCCACGGTAGGAAGTAAAAGAAATCTTACAGGAGGGCACTGCACTTGTGTGTTCAGAAGTCCCTTCCTTCTTTGCCAAGTCGTGCTGTTCCAGGTTTGTTCCCGCGTTCCCCAGTTGGTGGATGTTTAGTTAGTTCCAGGTCTGTGCCTGTGTCTGGTACCTGTGTTAAGTCAGTGTTTGAATTGGTGTGCTCAGTGAGGTGTTCCAGTTACTTTTTATCCTCACCAGTACTCGGTATTTCCAGTTTTTTTTTTTTTAAGATCTATTTATTTATTTGGAAGTAAGAGAGAGATCTTTCATCCACTAGTTCACTCTCAGATGGCAACACTAGCTGGGACTGGGCCAGGCTGAAGCCAGGAGCCAGGAGCTTCTCATGTATCGTCTTCACTGCTTTCTGAGGCCGTTAGCAGGGAAGTGGATCCGAAGTGGGACGGTGGGACTCCAGTCCGTGTCCAGGGGGACACCCGCCAGGCCGCAGCGCCGTTTGCAGTGCCCCAGTTGGTGAGAATGTTTTCGCTGTCCTAACGAGCGCGGGAAGTAGCTCGTGGTGATTGTTCATTCTTGTTCCCTGGTAATGGCGCTGAACATACTTTTGTGTGCTTTTTGCCATTCATTCGTCTTCATTGGTGATGTGTGTTAAAAATCTTTAACCCATTTTTTTTTAAAGATTTATTTACTTTTATTGGAAAGTCAGATATACAGAGAGGAGAGACAGAGAGGAAGATCTTCCGTCCAATGATTCACTCCCCAAGTGAGTGCAACGGCTGATGCTATGCCGATCCGAAGCCAGGACCCAGGAACTTCTTCCGGGTCTCCCACGCGGGTGCAGGGTCCCAAGGCTTTGGGCCGTCCTCCACTGCTTTCCCAGGCCACAAGCAGGGAGCTGGATGGGAAGTGGAGCTGCTGGGATTAGAACCGGCACCCATATGGGATCCTGGCGTGTTCAAGGCGAGGACTTTAGCTGCTAGGCCACGCCGTTAGGCCCTCTTTAACCCATTTTTACAACATTGGGTTATTTACAGAGCATGTTCTGAATGTCCACTCTGCATTGCAATTGTATATCATTTATCTGATGTGTTTTATAAATACTCTGTGGTTTTTTCCTCTTATTGTTTACAAATAGAGGACTTTGACTTCAACAAAATTCAATTTATCATTTTTCTTCCTTTATGACCATGCACTTGGTGTGACAAATAAGCAGGCTTTGTTTATTGAGAAGTGTAGAGCTTTTCTCCTACAAGTTTTATGCTCTTAGCATTCCTGTTTGCTTTATGCATAATCAGATTGGCTGCATGAGGTTCACTCTTTTTGTTTATGGATATCCAGTTATTTAATACTTACTGTGTGAAGAGGAACCTTTCATTCTTGAAAGATAATCTGGACACATACAGTTATGGCTTTATTGTTCATTTTCCCTTCTGATTTTCTCTTCTTCTTCATCCGATCTCCATTGTTGTTATTGAGAAGTAGAATGTCAGTCAGCTGTTTTTCCCCAGGCTTCAGAAGTTGGTTTTTCCCTTACTGCTGTGTGCATCCGGCCTCCCAGTTGGGTCATGATATGTCTTAGTGTGGTTTCCCCTCTACATCCTTTTCTCTCTCTTGACTCCTTCCACCCACTTATTTTTTTTTTTTTAAAGATTTATTTTTATTATTTTTTCATTGGAAAGGCGGATATACAGACAGGAGAGACAGAGAGGAAGATCTTCCGTCCGATGATTCACTCCCCAAGTGAGCGCAACGGGCCGATACTATGCCGATCCGAAGCCAGGAACCTCTTCTGGGTCTCCCACGCGGGTGCAGGGTCCCAAAGCCTTGGGCCGTCCTCGACTGCTTTCCCGGGCCACAGGCAGGGAGCTGGAAGGGAAGCGGGGCTGCCGGGATTAGAACCGGCGCCCATATGGGATCCCAGGCGTGCAAGGCGAGGACCTTTAACCACTTGCGCCACCGCGCCGGGCCCCACCCACTTATTTTTTTAAAATTTATTTATTTTTATTGAAAAGGCAGGTTTACAGAGAGAAGGAGAGATAGAGAAAGATCTGCCATCCGCTGGTTCACTTCCTAAGTGGCTGTGATGGCTAGAGCTGCGCTGATCTGAAGCCAGGAACCAGGAACTTCTGGGATTCCCACATGTGTGTGCAGGATCCATAGGCTTTGGGCCGTCCTCCACTGCTTTCCCAGGACACAGGAAGGGAGTTGGATGGGAAGTGGAGCATCTGGGATATGAACCAGTGCCCATATGGAATCCTGGTGCATGCAAGGCAAAGACTAGGCTAGTTCACTGGGTCCACACCCACTTATTTTTAACGGTTGCTCTATTTTTTATTTTTCCCTGAGTGCCATCTAGTTGTGAATCATACATTATACAGCATTTTCATTACTTCTTTGGCTTAATAATAGGCATGTAAGATTCCTCCATGTCTTCTCATGGCTTGGTATCTTATTTTAAAAATTATCTTGTAACCTTTAACTTTTGAAAATTTGCTCACTGAATAATACCCCATGGTTGATGTGCCTGTGTTTGCTCATTCATTCACCTGTTAAGGGACAACTTTGTTGCTCCCAGGTGTGCCTGGTTTCCCAGTGATGCTTGTGTGTGTGTTGAAGGTAGAGTGGTAGGGAAAAGGGCAGAGGGGGATTGCTGTCCGTCTCATGGTTCATTCTCCACGTGCCTACCAAAGCTGGCCTGAGCCAGGCTGAAGCCAGGAACCAGGAACTTTGTCCTGTGTGTGGCAGGAATCAAAGAACTTAAACCAACAACTTCTCCCCTCACCCCCCGGCCCATTAGCAGGAAGCTGGATTGGAAGTGGAGGCAGGCAACCTGACTGGGATGCCAGCAGCCCCAGAGGAGCTTAACCCCTTGTGCCACAACACCTCTCCTCTCAAATTGTTTCTGAAGATTGGACTCAGTTTGCAGTGTTGAGTTTGCCAGTATTCTGCTCTGTGCTCATCTTTTGGGGGGAGATGAGACTTTTCATCAGCTGAAACACCTTCACTTGTGTTTTCTGCTTAGTAGCTTTGTATCGTTAGCCTGCTAGTCCTACCCCGGAACATCCTCTAGATGAGGTGTCTCTAGTGGAGAGTGTTGCTCCTGATGGTGAAGGTGGGTGGGCTGGGGGTGTCTCTCCAGGAAGCACCTCCCCTTTCTGGGGACCCCCTCTTTCTTCATGAGCTGCATGACTGCCTTGAGGTCATCGTCCCTTCCCTACAGCTGTTTGGCCTCAACGTTAGATTCTGTCGTGACTGTGCTAGAACCGGAACTTGCTTCTCTTCCTCCAAGCTCTTTGAGGTCCGCGGGGTGCTTCCTCAGAGTGCTAGAGTGGCAGACACGTTTTTTAACTAGTCCAGGTTGCTTCTCTGGTTTTCTGGGAGGATCTTGCAGACCCAGAAGCACCTCCTCTTTGTCCATTGCATCTCTCTGACATACTGCTTACCTGTGCGTCCTGTGGGTTTTGAACACTCTAGATGGAATCCTCACGTCAGTCAGTCACCAGAGTCCTGTTCAAGCGGTGGAGCCCATCTCCGTGTCTGCCTGCAAGAAAGTGAGCTCCGTGCTCTCGCCCTTCTCGACTCAGGAAGGTAGCTGACCCCTTCCTTTCTCAGTGCCCTTGAACCAGGAGTCTGTGAAATGTGGTTTCCTTGTCTAAAGCATTTTCTTCTTCTTTTTGTTTCTCTTAGAAATGCTAGGTTTGTCCTTCCACATCGCGTCCTTGGATGAGAGTGGGGTGCTCAATGTGTGGGTGAGTATGTGCCCAGGGCCCTCGGCTGAAGCAGCAATGAAGCGATCTGAGTGAATTTAGGGGGGAGGCCAAGCAGGTTTGGGGCCCAGTACGAGAGCTCAGTAGAAATGTTTGAAATGAAAATTGGGATAATATGTCCAGGGCAAGGAAATGACATTAAAACTCATCCTAGACCATGAATGAAAACCTGAATGTTAATGAAGTTGCCGAGCAAAGGGAATATGGCAAACGAAACATTTAGAATTTCACCCCTAAAGTTCATGCTTAGGGGTGCAGCAGTTAAGAGGCATTTGGGACTCCCTGCTGTGTCAGGGCGCCTGGGTTCGCGTCCTCCCTCTTGATTCTAGGCTTCTGTTAACACACATGGTGGCAGCAAAAGGTAATGACTGAAGTAATATAGGGCCCCTACCGCCCCGGGCTCCTGGTTTCCACCTGCTGCAGCCCGTTTGGGGACCACTGAGGCAGCGACCCAGTGTGTGGGAGCTCTCTGTCTCTCCCTCTGTCAATCTGTGTCTATCTGCTATCCAGATACTAAGAAGTAAAACTTAAAAAAAAAAAAAACAAGAAAACGATCCATATTTTTTTTTCTGGAGCAATTATATTTTTAAGACCTCATACGGTGTATTGTCTTAATTATAACTATGCTTTGCTTAGATTGTTTCACAGTTACGAAATATATCAATGTTCATTTTCAATATTTTGCTTTTAGGTTGTGGTTGAGTTACCAAAGGCAGACATCGCAGGTTCAATAAGCGACTTAGGTAATCCAAACGAAAGAATTGATTTTAGTTTGTGTTTTCTAAAATTAATAGAGATTAAAGATACCAATAAAACTGCTTTGAAAAACCTGTAATTAACTGCCTGAAAACTAAATGCTACACTTGTGTATTATGCAATGTTATCTACTGTTGAGCAATCACTTTAATGATTATTTAAAGGCGAGTCTGCTTTATGTTAGCAAGTTCTGTTTGATTTGTAAGATTGGCTTTTCCAGCCCATCAGATGTCCAGGTCCTCGGCTGCGTCCTCATCTGGGGTTTTCCTGTTTGGGGTTAAGTACACCTGTGGGCCAGCTTCCTGAGACACTGCGATGGACTGGGGGCAAAGCCCGCCCTTGGCTAGGTGTGACAACCATAGCTTGGAGGAAGGACGGTGCGGTCTTGCGGAGTTTTCTGTTTTTGATGTTGTGTGGTATGGTTTTCAGTACCAGTTCCAGAAAGGACTCTGAATCCAGGGGATGGTTCTGTTTGGTCACATTTGAGAGTCCAGCCAAGCCCACGTTTTAAATTAGGCTTTCTTACAGCCTTAAAACCCTCTGCACACTCATTCTCTAACGACAAAACCCTTCTTTCCCCCCACTCTTTCACTTCATTTTTTATCAAAGATGTGTCCTCAGATAGCGATGTTGATTTTAACTTCCAATTTCTTGAAATAAGGGAAAGGAAGGACACTTTGTGATCCGTGAAGCAAGTGCTGGGTGCTTCATTTGAAAATGCCGGTGCTAAAGTTTACTATAGAGAAACAGCACTGAATGAAGCGCTGATTTCACTGGTGAATACATTTGAGGTGGAGCAGCCGTGTGTCTCAGTGTCTTCCCCAAATAGCATCCTTTCTACTTGTTTGGCAAGCATGCTGCCCTGTGTTGACTTAACAGATCGCTTGTAAAATCCGTAGAGCTAGAAGCCTTTGAGTCTCCGTGGTCCCTCTCTGTGTGTGCAGAGGCCACTGATGCTGCTAAGCAACGGGGGCGGACCTGAGACTGACCCTGCCCTCTTACCCCAGCTTGTTCTCTGAAAGCCCAGAGTTTTTATAATCGTGAGATCTCATCTCAAGGCCGATCGTGCTGATTACTTGTTGCATGACCAAGGCATTTTCCAAGCAATTGTGGAATTATTAAGGAGTTAAAGAGTCTGCCCACAATGAGTTGATGAATCTGGTGGAGGAGGGATGTATTTCATTGTTAGGTGTTGTGTAAGCATACCTTTGTTGGGTAAGCCACCACTTGGTGTGAGCACATCCACCGTCAGAATTCCTTTATGAGTCCCCAGTTCCATTGTCCCTTCTGCCTTCCTGCCAGTCATGTGCACCCTGGGAGGCAGCTCTCTCTCTCTCTCTCTCTTTCTCTCTCTGTCTCTGCCTATCACATAAAATGAAAAACAACAAAAGAGTTAAAAGCCAGCAACATTGTGTACTGACAGAAACTTTGGCCATGTTCCAGCACAGTCTTTAGGCAAGCAGGGACCACATTCACACCAGCAAGCATTTGAAGGGGTCTTCAGGCTCTCTGGTGTATGTGGTAGATTTCATTGATTTAGGAAGTGTTGTGGGCATGAGCTAGATCCAGTGCCAGGTGCCCGGGAGATACAGGAGAGAAGGTGCTGGCCGAGGAGATGTAGCTGTTAGATCATGGGAGGCCAGGTCAGGCAAGTAGACATGAGCTGAGATTCTAAGCTGGCTGTGCAAGGGATGGGGCCACTTAAATTTTATGAGTAGCTAGCTGCCAGAACATTCTTGCATTTGGAGTTAAACCTGTGATGATAATATACAGCATAATCAAAGCAACTCTTTCCAACTGCAAGTTGAATTTATTTCTATGTACTTTGTTATTTGGCTGTTTGTGAAATTTATTTGGAAGACAGAGAAAGGTAGTGGGCTCCGATAAGCTAGTTTGTTCCCTAGATGTCCACTGTGGCCTGTAACCGGGGCCAAAGCCGTGAACCAGGAAATCAGCCCTGTTCTTCCACATGGTGAGGACATCAGTCCTGCCTCTCAGAGTCTACTCTAGCAGGAAGTTGGAGTCAGTAGCGCAATTGGGAATTGAACCCGTGTACTCTGATTTGGGCTGTTGATATGTCGCAGGCTAAGGTGTCACCTGTGATGCCAGCATCTCATGTGGGTTCTAGTAGGGTGTCCATACTTGTGCCTTAACCTCTAGTTTAAATGCCTGCTGCTCTTTATGTATACTTAAAAAAATTATGTATTGTTATTTATTTGAAAGGCAGAGAAGCAGAGACATTTTCCACCTGTTGCGCCACTCCCCAACTCTGGGCAGGCTGAAACCAGGAGCCTAGAATGCAGTCTGCAGTCTGGGTCTCCCATGTGGGTGGCAGGGACCTGAGCTCAAAGGCAGCACCTGCTGCTTTCCGGGGGTGTTCATTAGTAGGATCTGGTATCTGGAGCAGAACCAGAGTTCAAAGCCAGGCACTCGATGGCTGAGGCAGGCAGCACAAGCTGCGCCCAGCGCCTGCCCACAACTGAGCTTGGGTCTGTGCCCCCACTTGCCTCCAAACTTGGGTCCCAGTGTTTGTGCATTTCTTGTTCCTGCCTCTGCAATGCTTTTTAAGCAGTGGAATTGATACTGGAAATAGATGAAAGAGGTACAGATGGGCAGAGACCGAAGAGTTATCATGATGGCCGCAGTGTTTTAGGAAGTTAAGTAAAAGGAAGGAGAAATAAAGGTAGGCCTTAGAATTGTATCATTTGTGGTTTGAGAAAAGCTGAGTTAGAGGGGCTCACAGAGCCCCTGGAGCTGGCAGAGCCAGAGCCGCCTGTGTGTGTTCTGTGGCACAGCCTACAACTTTCAGAGGACAAGGAGGGAGGACCCGAGTGTGGCTGAGGACGCTCACAGCACACGTGGGTGAGTCATTCATGTGTGCGTATATGTATGAGTGCTCGTAAGTACTTAAGCTTTCTATATACATGGATGTATAGCAACAGAGATCTAGGTTTACTGCCCTTATTTTACCACATGAGAAATGGAAAAGTTTTCAGATCTTGAGGCACTAGTAAGTTCTTACCCTGATGTGTGTGAGTGCTCCTCAGCATTAGGAAGAAATGCTGCTCATCGATTTGTATTCTGATGCTGTTTCCTAGCACAGATATTGAGAAATAGGACATGATTCCAGGCTGCTGTAAGTAATGTTTGTGAAGAAGTGTCTCTCTGCTTGGCTTTCAGGTCTGCTCCCCGGAGGGAGGATAAAGCTGGTGCACAGTGCCGCCATCCAGCTGGGCGCCAGGTGAGACTGACACGTGACACTGGACACAGAGAGCCAGACAAGGGCTTGTTCACGTGTGGTGATTGTGCAGCTCAGTCAGTTCATTATTCATGAGTCAGTGTGGTAAACAGAACTTCCAAATACAGAACTCACATTTCTTCTTTGGTAATGTGTTACTCATCTTAAAAATTTATACTCTTTGGGTGATTTTAAAGAAAGGCTTATTTATTCTAAAGACAGAATTTATGGAGAGAGAGAAAGAGAAAGAGAAAGGAAAGAAAAAGAGAGAGAGAGAGAAAGGAAAGAAAGAAAGAAAAGAAAAGAAAAAGAAAAGAAAAGAAAAGAAAAGAAAAAGAAAAGAAAAGAAAAGAAAAGAAAAGAAAAGAAAAGAAAAGAATGGATGTTCTATCTCCTGGTTCACTCTTTAATGGCTGCAATGGCCAGGGCTGAGCTGATTCACAGATGGGAGCCAGAGCTGCTTCTGGGTCTCCCATGTGGGTGCAGGGTCCCAAAGACTTGGACAATCCTCTGCTGCTTCCCCAGGCTGTAAATGGAGAACTGGATAGGAGGTGGAGCAGCTGGGACATGAACTGGCACCCATATGGGATGCTGGCACTGCAAGGTGGAGGATTAGCCTGTTGAGCCATTGCACTGACTTCCATCTTTGGGTAATTTTTAGTTCACTTTAAATGCTGGCTGGGTACATCTTCAGGAGGTAAAAAAATTGAATTGACAGAGTTTTTCTCCCAAGAAATTTAGATTTCAATCATTTGGAGGAATGAACTAGTGAATGGGAGTTTCCTGTTTGTCCCTCTGTCTTTTTCACCTTTCAAATAAGTTAGATAAATAAAACTTTGAAGATCTAGATTTTTAGTTTTATGCGTATTGCTTAATGACATTTAGTGTTACTAAATGCACGACATTATTTGTGCCATTCGTATGTTCCTTGTTAATTTATTTCCTGAGGTTATCTTTTCTTGTCATGCATTGCACTCAGGCTACAATTTTTGAGAAGTTTTTGAGCCTGATTCCTCCATCACACAAAATGCCTCTGGGGTATGTCAGCGAATTCATAGCTAGGAAAGTCAATTGAAACATAATTATAAAAGTGAACCTGTATATTTAAAAAAGTAGTATAATATATGAGAGGTCTTCAGAAAGTTCACAAAACATGCAATGAGTATGAGAAATACTTTGCATCAAAGTAAACTTCCCTTTCGCTTCTGTCTTTCTGTAACCTTTCTGAGGTCCTCTTCCATTACAAGGCCAGACACTCATGATTTCTCAGTGAGTGTGGTTTCCTCAATGAATGTCTTTTAAGACATTTGTTTTGCTTAGTAACTTCTCACTTTTTTTTTTAAGATTTATTTATTTTTATTGCAAGCTCAGATATACAGAGACGAAATTCTTCTGCCAATCACTCCCCAAGTGGCTGCAACAGTCAGAGCTGAGCCGGGAACCTCTTCCGGGTCTCCCACATGAGTGCAGGGTCCCAAGGCTTTGGGCCATCCTCAGCTGTTTTCCCAAGGAGCTGGATGGGAAGCAGGGCCTCTGGGATGCGAACAGGTGCCCATGTAGGATCCCAGCATGTGCAAGGCAAGGCCTTTAGCCACTAGGCTACTGCACTGAGCACTGAGCCCGGTAGCTTTTCTCACTTTACGCTGTGTGTCGTAGGTATATATTTTTATTATAGATTTCTCCTCTACTTAACTGCATACTCTTTTAAGGAACATCTTTAGTGCATCTGATGTCATGTTTTCCCCCAGAAGCCTCCTTGAGATTCACGCATGATCATTATACTTTATCCAGCCTCGTTGAGTATGTTCTGCTTGTCAGGCTTTGCAGCACAAAGGGACAGATAGCAAGCTCTGATAAGGAGGTAGACAAGGAAACGCAACATTCCCCAAAATGAAACTATTCTATGAAAAAAAAATTTTTTTTTAAAAGATTTATTTATTTATTGGAAAGTCGGATATACAGAGAGGAGAGACAGAGAGGAAGATCTTCCGTCCGATGATTCACTCCCCAAGTGAGTACAACGGCTGATGCTATGCCGATCCGAAGCCAGGATCCAGGAACTTCTTCCGGGTCTCCCATGTGGGTGCAGGGTCCCAAAGCTTTAGGCCGTCCTCCACTGCTTTCCCAGGCCACAAGCAGGGAGCTGGATGGGAAGTGGAGCTGCTGGGATTAGAACTGGCGCCCATATGGGATCCCGGGACGTTCAAGGCGAGGACTTTAGCTGCTAGGACATGCCGCCGGGCCCTATCTCTGAAATTTTAAATTTAATAAATGTTTAAATAGTAAATTAGATATAGCTGAAGAAAGAATTAGAGAATAGGACAATAGTTGAAAAAAAATGAACAAGATGCAATACTAGAACAGCAAAGAGTGGTTAAAATTGCATAAGAAAGTGTGACCTGGCCTGTTGTACATAGTATTAAGTAAGTATTAATATCATCATTATTCCCAAGGTCATGAAACAATGTGCTTTTGCTTTTGTTTATTTCAGTCTTTCCCATAGAGGCAGTGACTTCTGGGGAACCACACAAACTTTGAATATTAAATTCTTGCCTTCTGATCCAAATCACTTTATTGTTGGCACAGACTTGGTGAGTGACACTTTAAATTTCATTCTATTACTCATTCTTTTTTCTAGAATTATCTGATAAATAATCATAATTAAATGATTTAGTAATAATAGCTTTATTCAACTTTATGTTTAATATTTGTTTTTATTCACCCTTGGTCATCTTCTTATTACTAGGGTCTTGTAAGCCATGGAACAAGACAAGATTTGAAAGTATCCCCCAAGTTGTTCAAATCTCAGCAAAATGGAATAAGACCAGTAAAAGTTAATGTGATTGATTTCTCACCATTTGGAGAACCAATATTCCTGGTAAGAAAGTCTATGCTTATTTTTTTTTTTAATTGGAAAGGTAGAAAGAAAGAGAGAAAGAGACATAGAGGGAAAGCTCTTCCATCCACTGGTTCACTCCCTAAGTGGCTGCAATGGCAGGAACTGAGCCAATCCAAAACCGGGAGCCAGGAGCTTCTTCAGGGTCTCCCATGCAGGTGCAGGGTCCCAAGGCTTTGGGTCATCTTCGACTGCTTTCCCAGGCTGCAAGCAGGGAGCTGGATGGGAAGTGGAGCAGCAGGGATACAAAGTGGTGCCCATATGGAATCCCAGGGGATGTAGTCACTGGGCTATTGTGCTCGGCCCAAAAAAGTCAATTTTGTAAAGCAAACAATTTAGTGGTACTATTTCCTACTGAGCAGACACTTTAGTTGGTAAAATATAAAGTTGTTGATTTATTAGGCCTTGGTGATCTACAAAGAAGAAATACAACATTAATAATAGAAATTTAAAAAAAATGTAGTGTGCCTAAAAATTTAACTTGCTTAAGAAGTACTTTGTTTAATCGCAAACTATTTAGAATTTAGCAAATTATGAAATATCAAAACATTGCAACCAAAAATGTTGAAGAAATTCTTAGTGTAAAGAATTTTTAATGTTCTTTTATTATTTAACCACACAGTCCCAGTCAAGGTTTAGTGTGTGTGACCCACAGGGGAGTTGTAGAGGGAGCTTTGAAGCAGAATGCCAGTCTACACCCTGCACACATATACTGCAGGGTATGTGTGTGGCGGCATGCAGCCTTTAACCCCCTCTTCTCCAAGGCCTGGTGTCAACACAACTCATCCTATTTTTTTTTTAAGATTTATTTATTTTTATTGGAAAGGCAGATTTACAGAGAAAAGGGGAGACAGAGAGAGAAAGATCTTCTGTCTGCTGGTTCACTCCCCAAGTGGCTGCCACAGCTTGCCCTGAGCTGCTCCAGAGCCAGGAGCCAGGAGCCTCTTCCGGGTCTCCCATGCAAGTGTGGGGTCCCAAGGCTTTTAGCAGTCTTCGACTGCTTTCCCAGGCCACAGGCAGGGAGCCGGAAGGGAAGCAGAGCAGCCAAGATGTGAACTGGTGCCCGTATGTGATTGTGGCATATGCAAGGCAAGGATTTAGCCACTGAGCTGTCACACTGGGCCTATCTCCCCCCAATTTAACTGACTTGAAGGTCAGTCAGTATAAGGGTTAGGTGGGAAGACAAAATCATCTTAAAACTGATTAAAATGATTGAATGTCACAGTAATAATTAAGTGTTCTGCCAAGATGAAGGCATTAATTTATCCTACTTATCCTTTTTTTTTTATTTCATCTTTACAACTTATCCATACTTGAGATTGAGGGTAAAGATTGTTCTTTGTCCGACATTATAGCAATTAAAGCATATTATAGACTATGTGTCAGCATCTGTACCAACTTTAATGTTATTAAAGGCAGAGTTGGTATTTTATTCATCTTTATATTTCACAAGATTGTGCTTAAACTGTTTGGCACTTAGACTACATGTGGCTGGCTATTAGGCACTTGGAAAGTGGCTATTAGAGTTATTATAAAATGCTTGCCAAACTCTGAAAAATTGATATGAGCAAAAGAATGTGACATATCTTATTCAAACTTCTGTTAATTATATGCTGAAATTATATCATTGAGACATACTTAGATTAAATAAATCTGTCAGGGGCTGGCACTGTGTCATGGCAGGTAAAAGTGCTGCCTGTGGTGCTGGCATCCCATGTGGGCACCAGCTCTGGTCCTAGCTTCCCCACTTTTCACTCCGCTCTCTGCTGGTGTGCCTGGAAGACAGTAGAAGGTAACCTAAGCACTTGGACCCTAGCTACCTAGGAGATCCTGAGGAAGCTCTGGGCTCCTGGCTTCAGACTGGCCCAGCTCTGGCCGTTGTAGCCATTTGGGGACTGAAGCAGCGGATGGAAGATTCTCTCCCCCCGTGTCTGTCTGTCTGCCTGTCTGTCTCTCTCGCTGTCCTCCTCTCTTCCCGCTCTCTGTAGCTCTTGCGAATGAATAAAAATAACTTTAAAAATATTTTCAATAAAAATCTTAAAACTCTTTTCATTTGCTTATTTTGAGTTTTGTCATCAGCGGTCACACTCACCATCAGGCTTTCTGGAACAATCGCGGGAGGGCCTGCCATGTGATGAACGTGCGTGGGAGAACCGTGGTGTCCCAGAAAGGCTGTGGCGGAGCTGCCAAGCCCTTGTCGCAGGAAGTTAGCGTGGGAAAGATCTTCGTGTGTAACACATGGCTCTCACAGAGCTCTCTCACGTCATCCCGGCAGCATCCCTCATAAGCAAACCAGCATCCCAGTTTTCGTGTGCCTTCAGTTTGTTTATGTTTTGCTTTTGAAGATTTATTTATTTTACTTGAAAGTCAGAATTACAGAGAAAGAGGAGAGACAGAGATCTTCCATCCACTGGTTCATTCCCCAAATATCTGCCAGTAGCCACAGGCCTAGTCAAACCCAGGATCTTCTTCTAGGTCACCCATGTGGCTGCAGGGGCCCGAGCACCTAGACTGTCCTCTGCTGCTTTCCCAGGCTATTAGTAGGGAGCTGGATCAGAAGTAGAGAAGCCAGGACAGGACCCAGTACCACAGGGAGAGGATTAGTGTGCTACACCACTGCCCCAACCCCGCCTTCGGCCCTTTTGGATCTGGATTTTGAAGATTGGGTTTCTCAGCCTCTGATGGTGTTGGCATGTTGCAGGCCATTGGATACTGATTTTGTAGACTGGGCCTCAGTTTGGGCTTGCCTGATGACAAGCAAGTTTTGTATTCCTTTCGCTGGAATGGCTCCGAAGTGACACGCATCTTGGGAGGGACTGATGATACTGACCTGTGCAAGCATGCATGACGTGAACTCTGCCATGTGGGGTGGCTTCCGCAGCTGCGGGGTTCCTGGCATCCCTTTCTAAAGAACGTGTGCATAGAAGTGAACACGCTTAGTATTCTGAAACTCAGATGGTCGCCTGGTGATTCAGTTGTCCACTGCTGTTTCCTGCCTGAGTCTGTTCTTGGGCTGAGTGGCAGGTGCTGATTTTCTGATCCCCGTCATCAATTCCCCACCTCCTGATTGACTTTGCGCAATGAGGAAGAACTCTCCTTTTCCCCTTTGCATTTATTGGAGGAATTTGGGCATGTTGCTTTTTGTTGCGTGCAAAGGACTGTAATGATCCACTTTCCGTGTTTATTCTGCTGCTCAAATTGCACAGGTTGGGCCAGTGGCTTCCTTTCAGCTGGCACTTACATTCTTACGATACAGTTCTGCAAGCCCTTTGTTGTTCTCTGGTACAGTAACCACAGAATTGGCCATTTCTGCAGGGAGTTCTGGCTGTTTTTAGTGGAGAAAAGTATCCTGAAGGCAGGATCTGGGCAGTAAGGAGTGGTCCGTGTGCTGGGGCAGGACATTGTACCTGCCTTGGCGTGCAGCTGAGGGTTGCAGAGTGCCCTCCCATCGCTAACTCCATGCTGACACACAGGCTGCCTCTGACCCTTAGCAGTGGTATTTAGGATAAGCCTGTTTGGTCTATCTTGGGATACACATAGCCCTCCATGCCTTTGTGACAAACCTGCTAAGCTGGGCGCGTTGTTCTGTGGCGTCAGAAGGTGCACTGTTTCTGCATTTTGTTCAGAAATCATTTGCCTTAGCTCTTGTGCCACTCCCTTGGAGGTTAAGTTTTTTTTTTTATTTTTTTAATTTTTTTTTAAAGATTTATTTTTATTATTTTTTCATTGGAAAGGCGGATATACAGAGAGGAGAGACAGAGAGGAAGATCTTCCGTCCGATGATTCACTCCCCAAGTGAGCGCAACGGGCCGATACTATGCTGATCTGAAGCCAGGAGCCTCTTCCGGGTCTCCCACGCGGGTGCAGGTTCCCAAAGCTTTGGGCCGTCCTCGACTGCTTTCCCAGGCCACAAGCAGGGAGCTGGAAGGGAAGCGGGGCTGCCAGGATTAGAACCGGCGCCCATATGGGATCCCGGGCGTGCAAGGCGAGGACCTTTAACCACTTGCGCCACCGCGCTGGGCCCAAGTTTTTTTTTATTTAGGATGAAGGTTTTCCAATTTATATGTTTTTATTTCATCTTAGAATTTTACTCCTGTTTTTGTTGATTTTATTGCTATTTTTTAATGTGAAGGATTAAATAAATACCTTGAATGAAAACAACCCGCTCCCCCCCCCCTTTTCATTGGTAAGCAAAGTAACAAGGTTTAACGGGGTAGGGCATTCATCAGAAGGGCTGAGTACCACTCCGGATAGAAGCTGGGGGACAGTGTCTAGCCACTCAGATCGGGATAAGCCAGGTTACATAATGTAATGAGGAGAATGCACCTAGCAGGCCGGTGGGTGTCTCAGGAAAGTGCAGAGAGCTGCACACACAATCTGTGCTCCTCCGCGGGCTCCTGGGCATGGGGTCCAGGTCTTCTGCTGTTTCTCCTTTCCCCCCAATCCCTCTGATGGACAAAGGGTTTCCTGGGTGTGAAATAGGCAGAATTCCTCTCAAGGTTTACTAGCCAGTGCACCTGGCATTACCAGGGTGATGCCCCTGGGGTGCCCTTCTCGAGGGAGGGGTGGCACCAGTGGGGCAGGACCTTGTAGTGGCTTCCAAGGCTACTCTGTTGCCTGACGCAGAAACCTGTTTTCGCTGGCTCGTCATGTGCTCACAGGCTGACGTCTAACTGCACGCAGTGTTTTCCCCTCGAGAGAAGTTACTCATAACCTTCCTACTCTGTCTTGCCTGTTTTCTTCAGAGCTGACGTGTGGCTGTAGGGGTGACTGTGGGCATTCATCTCTTGTCTCTGCTGTGGTATCTGAGAGTGGCCTTGGAGAAGGTTGTCCTGCCAAGTCCACAGGTGGCGTAGGCTGGGAGCCCTGTCTCAGGGCTGTGTGCACAGCTGCTGTTCACTGGTTCTCTGCCAAATGCATTGGTGGGATGAGTGGACCAGGTTCTGGTCTGTGCGTGGAAGCACTGAGAGATGAGGCAGAGAGGCAGAAGGGTAAGCCAGGCAGAAAGGCAACTGTCAGAACAGATGGCACTTCTCCACCCAGAATGGGAGTGCCCAGCCATTCAGACTGTGCCAAGCAAAATTACATGGTTTAATGGAAAGAGAGCACCTGCCAGGCTAGGTGGGCGGCTCAGGAGAGCTGGGAGTAGTCCTCCCCTTTATCAGCTATAATATAGTTTTTGTTACTAAACCTGCTAAGTTTTGTTTTTTGCAGATTTTAGCCCCAGGGGCATATATACCCATATCATAGATGCAGGTGTGAATTTCAAATGGTGAGTTATTTACTTCCATAGAACCAATCTTAATGGCCTCGCCTGAATCAGTGACAATTCAACTTAAAATAAAATGGGGCCTGGCACAGTAGCCTGGTTAACCTTGCACATGACAGGATCGATCCCATAAGGGCGTTGGTTCTAATCCCGGCTGCCCCACTTCCCATCCAGCTCCCTGCTTGTGGCCTGGGAAAGCAATGAAGAACTGCCCAAAGCATTGGGACCCTGCACCTGCATGGGAGACCTAGAGGAAGCCTCTGGCTCCTGCTTTTGGATCAGCTCAGCTCTGACCATGGCGGCCGCTTGGGGAGTGAACCATCGGACGAAAGATCTTCCTCTCTGTCTCTCCTCCTTTCTGTACATCTGCCTTTCCAATAAAAATAAATAAATCTTAAAAAATGCTTATTTAGATATTCACCAAATCTATCTCCACAAAATATTTTTAAAGCCACCTTAAAATGTGATTATTTTATCCTTAGCCCAAAGTAGTATGTTGAGTAACGAGTTGATGACATACCATCTCTCCATTGTGATCATTTGAAATAAAATGAGAAAGGTTTTTGTGAACCCCTTGGGGCCGGTTTCCAAGTGTCGAAATTCACTGTGTGTCTGGGTGACATACAGATAACACGTGCTGGACTTGACGTTTTGGTTTGTTTTTGCTGTGTCATCTCCCTGGTCACAGGCTGGCTGCTCCGATGGCAGCATCAGGCTCCACCAGCTGACCTCCGAGCACCCCTTGGCACAGTGGGACGGCAGCACCGACGGCCGTGCTGTCACCAGCCTGCATTGGTCCCCAACCAGGCCGGCTGTGTTCCTGGTCCAGGATGAAGCATCCAGGGTTTACATCTGGGACCTCCTCGAGAGTGATCTGGGTCCCGTGGCCAGGCAGTCCATCTCCCCTGACAGGTAAGTAGCCAAGCTTGCAACGCCCCACTCACCACAGCAGGCAGGCAGAGGCATCACCAAGGGTTTTCCTTTTCTTTGATTACAGTTATCTTTTTAACTTAAAAATGCAGTTGACACATGATATGTGTGTATATTAATGGGGTACTTATCTAATGCATTAAGTCATTGCACTTTTAAATGTGGCTGTATTTAATATAGAGTAAACTCGAATGAGTTCATGGAAAGTGGAATTGAAAAGATCAGTTTATTTGGGTATAGGAAAAGTTTTAAATCTCTGTAGAATTTTTCTCAGGAAAGTTAATGTCAAATATGTGTTATGAAAATACAGTTGATGCGCTTACATCAGGATGTAGTCATCACCCAGAATCCAGCCTGCGTTAGAGCTCACTCCTGGTATCGTACATTTGCGTAATGTTCTTAAATAGTTTTAAAATTTTTCAGTTTCTGTCTCTTGAGTAGAGGAAGACACAGAGAGAGCTGCCCTCCATTGGCTCACACTTCAGATGCACCTGACAGCTGGGCCTGGGCGGGGCTGGACCAGGAGGTGGGCAGTACAGGTCTCCTGCACAGGCAGCAGTGACCCCAGGATGTCAGCCATCCCCTCGTCCCCTCTGCCTCCTGGGGAGCACAGAGGCAGGACAGTGGAATCGGAGCAGGGCTGGAGCTCAAACCTGGGTACCCCAGTGCAGGCTGTGGATTCACTCCTGCTCCAAGTGCCAGGGCATACTGTAAAAACCACTCTAAAATGTGGTCGTTTTCTATTTAGGCCAAGATAGTCTAGCGAAGTAAAAATGTGTGCTGTTTCCCCATTGTCATGATTCTGTTGGTACAGAAGGAAAGTGTTGGTAAGCTTCTTGCTTCTCCTCACTTGTCAGTTTTATGCATCCGGTAGGTGCTAGATACAGAAGGAATAGTGTGACAATAAATAATTCATGCATGTTCACACTAATGTTGAACCATCTCACAGTCAGGTCATTTCAGTGCCCTTGCCATGGCCTTCACATGAATTCAAGTGAAATTCACTGATGGGAATATAAGACATGAAGATTATCACTTGCATTAGGTTTTTCTTTTTTTATGGTGCAGTTCCATAGGCTCTGGGATTTTCCCTTCCCCTCAAGTCTCCTCCCCCTACTGACTTCCCCTCTGTTATTATAATGCGTAGTGCTTCATGAACAATCCTAAGTCCACCATGCCACCGTTGAAGTGTATGCTGACATTGTGGGTATGGACAACGCAGAGTCCAGCGTCCTGTTGTCAAGATATAGTTAACAGTTTCATTGTGAGTCTATCTTTGATTTGGAAGTAGAGATGCATACTGCATTATATCTTTACATCTCGATAGGATAGTCTCAGTTACACAGTTTGTATACATCCCTTTAAGTGAAAAAATCATAACACAAAGTTGAAAAGAGAATGGAAGAGAAAACTTATGGCAACAGGAAGTTAGATAACACACTACTGTATGGCCTGTGTGTCCCTGAAGAAATTAATAATAACAAAAACTTTTTTGAATAAATGAAAATAAAAACAAAAATATCAAAACCCATGAGAAGTAAGAAAAACAGTATTGCGATGGACATTTATAATATCAGGTGCTTACAAATAATCAGAATGTGTCCAGTAAATGATCTAGTGATGCATCATAAGGACCTATTAAAAAAAAAATGATCAGGAGGGGAGAAATGATAAAATTCACAGCAAAAAAAAAAAGGCGCTGAAATGAAATAACCATGGAATGCAAAAAGAAACAAGAAGTAACAAGAAATAACCATGGAATGCAACAAGAAACAAGAAGTAACAAGAAATAACCATGGAATGCAACAAGAAACAAGAAGTAACAAGAAATAACCGTGGAATGCAACAAGAAACAAGAAGTAACAAGAAATAACCGTGGAATGCAACAAGAAGATGAGCAAATTGCATTAGTTTTAATAATTTTTATTTTAAATTTTTATTGGAAAGGCAGATTTGCAGAGTGCATTAGTTTTAATAATCCTATTTTTGAATTTTAAATTTTTATTGGAAAGGCAGAATTGCAGAGAGGAAAGACAGAGAGAAAGATTTTCCTTACACTCTTTTATTTTTTATTTTAATGATTCTCTATCTTTGTTTTTTTATTTCAAAGTAGAAATTTTATATAGAATTTCATTATGAGTTCTCGCTAGCTAAGTGTTTATTCACATGTATTTTGTTCTTGAGATTTTACATTTCTTCCTAAAAGTTCTCATTGGCCAGAACAACTCCCAAATGTAACTGAAATCCCTTGTGTAAAGTTTAAGAAGACAGAACACCAGATCATGGTTTGACAGAATGTTAATATACTTATGCTGAGAGTTACATTTATGTTATTCAAGTGGTGGGCATATTGACATTTTTCTAATTATTAAACTACTCCCAAAGCTCATCCCATGAATACGTATAAACACAGAATGTATTTCTCATTTGTTGGTCCAGAAAGTCTGCCTCTCCATTATTCAATCAGTGAGCACTGAGCTAGTCAAATTGCTCTTTGCTTGGTTGGGCAAGATGGGTGAGGGACAAGACAGCATGGAAGGTTTCAGAAGCATTAGAATAGTGAGGAGCCGGGAGGGTGGACAGTAGGGTGTTGGGAAGGATGGTCCTGATGAGAAGGGGACACTGGGGCCAAGATGTCGGCGTAGTGTCAGCGGAGAACACCAGGGCCTGCCTAGGCAGGACAGCAAGCAAGCCGGCTCCAGGGTTGACTGTGCTGGTGTGGGCAGGCTGCAGTTGCCAGCGGGACAGGGACACTGGCTGAGTGGGAGGAGTTAGGGGAGGTGGGCAGAAGAGGTACTTTAGAACAAGCGGGCTGGGAGGAATCTTTGTGAGGCACAGGGAGAGAAAGCATACCCCAGAGCTGCAGGTGCCTGAAGCTGGGAAGAAGGCTGTGGTGCTGGCGAGATGTGGGTTTGGAGAGGTGTGAGGGTCAACAGGAGGTTTACTGAGGTCACCTGGAAGTCTAGATACTCTCCTACTGGAAGGATAGGATTTAAGTGGGGGTGGGGGTAACAAAAATACTGGCTGTATGTTTTGAGTCTATCAGCCGTGGGGAGGGGACGATCTCCCTGTGGGGATGGCCTCTGGGAAACAGTGGTGTTTCTCGCTTGGGTACTTGCTGGGTGGATGGGGTTACCTTTTACCCAGAGGAGACTGTTGAAGGAGGTGTCCAGAGGCCAGGGGGTTAGTGTAGACTGTCTGTGCATATTTCTGAGCAGTGACATTTAACTGTTGGCCTTCTGCTCTGGGGGAGAGAGGAGGATGAGGACAGGGCACCAAAAAACCTCCTTCTGGGACGCTGCTGCCGGAGGCTCCAGGGAGGGCCTGTCTGGATTCACGTGAAAGCTTTGTTGGGAGAAGTGTTCACTCTTGACTGTGTGACGGGCCAGAGTTCTCAGCCTCTCAGAGTCGCATATCTTCACTGATCGCCTCTGTGAAGGGGTTGGTCCCGCAGACCTCTGGGATGCAGAAGTACATCTTTTTGGGTAGATTTTCTTATATTTATTTATTCCTGGTCTGATGATTTATTTTGACTGTTGACATTTGTAATCTCTCTTCCATTTTACCCTTCCCTTGCAAGACAGGTTTTGGGGAGATTGAGGTGTGACGGGAAGCCTCGTACAAGTACATCACGCGCTTTGCTTGCCCCTCTCGCCCACAGGCTCGTGGCCATGACCATCATGGGGGAGCCAGAGAAGGGCAGCAGCAGCTTCTTGGCCCTGGTGCTGGCCAGGGCCTCCGGCACCATTGATATTCAGTACCTGAAGAGGCAGTGGACAAGCCCAGAGGAGGACGAGCCGGCCAGGCTGCGTCTGCTGCTGCAGGAAACCCTGTGGAAACGGGGAACGTTACGGACGTGACAGGCGTTCCACAGGCCGTGCTGATGTAGTGACCTTAATCTGAAGAGACGAAATTATAAGGTGGATAATCTTACATCTGTGTGACCTTGTGTTTCTGTACATAGAACATGTATATTCTGTACATAATTTACTTTACAAGAATATTACTTTGATATTCCTGGTAAATAAATCACTATTTTTGAACAGAAATGAGTGAACATCATAGTATACACTAAACTTCAAAGGAAATACTGAGTCATGTCCAATATGTTCTTTTCTGATAATATCTCTGGTAAAAGTTACAATACATTGACAATTCTGGCACATTCATTATTGGATTTTGACCAGCCCACCGTGATGAAAACGTATTTTAATGAACTATTTTCTTACTCATATGTGGAATGATATATATGCATATGTCTAAATTAAAAGGAGTGACTTCATTGAAGCGACCTCTGCCAGCTGTGTTTTCTTAACCCCCTTGCTGGGCATCTTGAGCATTGTCCGACTGTCACGAGGAGTTGAGTCAGACACATTTGCTATTATACATTAGTATTGAAAATTGTGTTCCTGAAGAAGCAATACAAGTAAGTAAAGCCTCTTGAATCTTGTAGCTTAAATATGGAAATAGACGGTGCTTTTACGACAAAGAGCCGTGGGCTGGGTAATGTACAAAGAGCAGAAATGCTTCTCAGAGCTGGAGAAGCTGGGCGTCTGGGTGCAGAGCCCGGCAAGTTCTGTATCAGCGTGAGAGCCTGCGTTGTTGCTGTGTTTGCCAGGCAGAGGCTGGGAGGGCAGCAATGCAGTAAAGCACTCCTCCCGCTTCTACTAGGACATTAAGACTGTTGGTAGGAGCCCTGCTTCTCGAAAGATCTCACTCCTGCTTCTCTCACCTCGCAGGCCTGGGAGGGGATTTCAGTTCCAATCCAGCAACTTCAGAGGGACACATGCATTAGGGGAAATGCTGGGGGTGAGATTGCAGGAAAGCTCAGAGTGGCATTACAAATACACCTCCTGGGCTTCTGATGAATCTATGGGGAATGCAGACAGGTCTCCTCACTGGGTCTCAAGGTCACTTCCACTTACCTGGCTGCATCCAGAGTGTCCTGGACCCAGGAGGCACGTGGGAGGCTACTGCCCATGTGTCTCCTGATACTGTGCAGCCCATACTTCCTGCGGTGCTAAATCCATCCTTTCACTCATTGCCGTTTCTCACTGGGAACCTGTTTGATGTGCCTAGAACACTTTATTAGTAGGTTTTCAGATTTCAGAGTACAATTATTTAAAATTAGAATGAATATTTGCTTCTCTTTTTCTTTGGACTCCCTCTGTGTTTTATTATCTGTGAATACTCAGATATCCAAAGTCATATTTCTTCTTTCTTTCATATATTCCTTGTTGCCCTGGGAGAAAATTGGGCCTTAGGTATTTGAAAGTGCTAAGTACATCAGTTCAAGAGAATCAAACGTGTTTGGATTTGTTCCAGAGGCAGTAATGCCCTAATCATGGTGATGCATCGTTAAGAATTCCTTCTAGGGGCCAGCGTGGTAGCACAGTAAATTAAGCCGTCACCTACAATGTCGACATCCCGTATGGATGCTGGTTTGAGTCCAGGCTGTTCCACTTCTGATCCAGCTCTAGGCTAATGCGTCTTGGAAAGCAGCAGAGGATGGCTTCTGTCCTCATTTCAGAGATCTGGAAGAAGATCCGGGCTCCGGGCTTTGTACAGGCCTTACACTGGCTTAGGCTGCCCTCTGGGGAGTGATCCAGGGGGTAGACGATTCTCTTTTCTCATTCTCATCCCTCTGTAATTCTACCTTTTAAATAAATAATATTAAAAAAATAATTCCTTCTAGTGAAACATCATCTGACAACTCTGTTTTTACTTCAGGCTTTGTGTGAAAGTCAAGATTGGAATTCTAAGTTGCAAATGAGTTAAATGCAGCATTTCTTAAGTCCCCACTTCTCCCTGTTAGATGCTCAGGTGGATTTTACATCACGGGAAGGTGTGGTGGGTGAGAGGAGGCTGCAGGTTGATTTCTTCAGCACTCCCAGGACTCACTGTCCCCACAAGGCCTCCTAGACCTGTGGCGAACATGGGCACACCTAAGTGGGGGACTCGCCAAGGAGAAGCCCTAAAGTAAACATGGAACCAACCTTCTATGTGTCTTCTTTTCTGGTTGGCTTATCTGCTATGAAATGTGATCTTCATTTAAACCGAAGGCTGAAGTTGCCCAATCCTGTTTGCAGTTCTGTTTTCTTCTTAAGGAAGCCATGGAGCTGTAACCAACACTAAGGAAGAGATTATTGTTATCGGGGACCAGTAAGGCCAAGGGCTCATTCTGAAAGCAGAGACCACATGCAAGGGTGCAGGAATGAGGGCCTGTCTTTCCTGGGATGAGGCTGTGATGGTCACAGTTCTGTATGGCTCACCCAACACCTGACTGTGGGACCGTGAGAAGGGAAGAATCATTTGATGACCTTGTAGAGTGGAGGCTGCACAGGGCAAAAGGTGGCAGGGAGAGCTGCACATTGAACAACCAGGAACTCAGCGGGATACACACAACTCCACCTCCATGCCAGCGTCTGGCCGTTGGTCACAGGAGAAATGTCACATCTCAGAAACAGCGTTTGAGATAACAAGCATGCCACCTCATGTGTCTCTCGCATTGTCTATCTGTTTTGAGACGTGGGCCCCATTGGTCCCTGCACCTGATGGGGTCCAGATGCGTGTGTCCCCAGGACCCCAGGATGCTCATCCTGAGAGCTTGTGATTGCCCCTACCCAACAGCTCCTTCCGTAATAGAAGCTCTCATAGAGCTGTGAATACGCTTCTTCTCTCGCGTTGTGTTAAGAAGCCAGTGACAGTCCTCTACGAAGTATCCATTGCTTCTGTGGTGAGAGCACTTGGGAGGCCTCTGGGGGTCTCCGGGACTAGGATACAGACCTCCTCTTGTCCTCCTGCTCCACCCTGAGATCCCCTCCTGCTCTGGACACACAGCCTCCTTTCAAGAGGGTGTCAGGGTTGTTCTTGGATCCCACTATAAATTTCTATGGCTTTTCTAACGTCTAAGGCCATTAAGAATTTGTTATCTATAAATAATAAGTTACACTTAAAGTCTTCCTCAAACATTCTAAGAAGGTGGAGAATTTCTCTGCACTCCTGACCTGCAGTGGAGCAAGAGGAATATTAAACAAATTTAGTTTTTCAGTTCTTAGAGGCAGTTCCACTGGGGTTCCATCTTCTCCAGGGGCAGCGTTGCGTTGAAGGGAGTTGCTGCACTTCCGAGGTCAGATGAGCCATAGGGGAACCCAGTTTTGAGGATCCATCAGGAAATTCTAGGGGCAAGAGCATAACCTTTCCCAGGAATTGTTAGTGTTCCAGAATATCAATCATTCAATTGTGCACCATCTTGTCAGCCACAGGGGGGCAGCAGTGTCCAGGTCCTGGCTAGAACCAAGTCCTGTGGGCCCTGGCTTCATTGGAGTTCACAACCTGTGGGAACATCAGGAAATCAAGCATATTTGCAAGAAGCAATGAAATTGTAAAAACTCTGTGTTTTAAAAACACCTCCACAGCAGCCTAATCCTTTCCCTGTTCACACGGAGGAATTCTCTGCATTTAATCCAAGAAACAAAGTCACTTTTATTTTTTTAAAGGTCATCTGTTGATAGTCATTGAAGTGAATGAATTAAAAACCCAGTATTTGGGTGAAATGTTTATAGTTGTAACATTTCCAAGCAAGCCTTAGGCACTGACTGTTCACTGCATGATGCATATCCGCTTAATAATGACAAGCGTTGCGAACGGTCACGTGGGTGATGTAGAAGTGATGGGACTTTAGGACAAGTTTGTCAGTTTACTGAAGAGTGACTGTGCCTTGGATGCTTTTTCTAACATGAGGAAGAGTTATGTGGAGTCTGAATTCATATTTTATAGGACTTCATTCACATGACATAATATAGGAACAGCTTAGTTAAGATAGAGAAGTATTCACTGGCAGATCTGAGAACCAGGACAGGCTGGGTTGGCCGCAACACCAGCCAGCTCACATTAGGGCTGGGACTGGGGGCTGGCTGGGCTGGGCTAGGCTGTAGCACCCACCAGCCTGAGCTGGAGTTGGGGCAAACCAGACTAGGCCAGACTATAGCACCTGTCAGCAAATGCCAGGGTGAGATGGGCCATGCCAGACTGGACTGTTTCACCCACCAACATACTTGAGACTGGCCAGGAGTGGAGGGTATAAGGCTAGTAAGCAGTGGGCTCTCGTGCTGCTGGGTCACTACGGGTGAGCATAACTGGGACCGGGAGCAGACCAGGCCGGGCAGGGCTACAACACCTGTTGGCCTGCGTGTGAACTGGTTTGGGGGAGAGCCAGGCTGTGCTGACTATAGCCACCAGTGCATGCATGAGCCAGAGTAAGTGCAGATTGGTAGGGCTTTGCTGCAGCATCAGCGGCAAGTGCTGGGACTTGGGGCAAGCCCTGTCAAGCTAGACTGCAGAACCACCTGGAAAGTGCAAGATCTTGGACTTGCAGTGGGCCCAGTAGGGAAACTGTGGGCACCTCTCTGATGGGCTGCAACTTCCACTGGTGAGCATGAGAACCAGAGCTGGGAGTGGGCCTGGTTAGATAGGTAGTGGCACCTGTTGGCATGAGTGTGGCCTGGATAGTGGGGTTAGATGGGTTGAGCTAGGCTTCAACACCGATGGATATGTACGAGAATAGAATGTGAAGTGGGAAAGATTGGGCCAGTGTGCTGTACATACTGGCAAGCACAGGAACCAGGGCTGCAGGCAGACCTAGTGGGATTATTGCGAGGTAACTCTGACTAGGTTGTAGATGCTGCTGATATATGTGAGGGTTGAGTGTGTGGTGGAAAGGGTTGGGCTGGGCCACCCTGTAAGACATGGGGCTGGAAACAGAACTGACCCAGCAGCTGTAACTACCAATGTGTGCACAGGCTTGATGTGGGTGATAGACTGAGTTGGATCCTCTATTAGCAAGCACGCACAAGAGTCAGATCTGGGACCACTTCGAAAGAGGTTTCTTTGTGGATCCCCCAGCTAGGCTGATGGAATCAGAACTCCAACTAGGGGGAGAACCACAGCTCTGTGGTCTGACTGTGAAGTGCATGTGTCAGAACTGGGCCTCTTCATTGGCAAAGACAGAGCAGTGGACAGCGTGCCCTGATGCACACGGAGGATATGGCAACCCATTGGGGCCTGCAGAGACCTTCTG